CCTTACTAGTCTTATAACTAACTTTATATTATTTAAATAAGCAAGTAAAACATATTACTCAAGGGTTTTCAAGTTTAGATAATTTTGCCAACAACCACCAAGTGGGGTAAATGCTCCATATATTGTTGGTAACACCGTAGACAATGCTGCCATTTCCCAAGGCAGGGGACATCTTACGGTGAACGGGCTATACATATACATACTACAATATATTATTATAGCTGTGAACTTGTTTGAACTGTGAACTCGTGAATTTACTTTATTTATTATCAAAACATACTGTGAGCTGTAAGTACAGACGGAGTACTTTTTAAATACCTAGATACTGTAAATAAATATTATATGTTGAAGTTTATAGAGTTGTATAGTAAGGAAATAACCAGTATTGTGTTCGTGTACCATTCACTTCAATTTGATAAATAGTGAGTTATTAGATTGAAACAGATTTATTGAGAAATGTACGGTGGCGAACCACCCCTAAAACAAGCGTTTCAAGCTTGCCAGGAGAGGTTAAAAGGAATATTAGTAATTTTAATTAATAAGATTACTAATATTTTAAATTTCAAAAAATATTAAAGTTCAATTAAAGAAAAAATCGCAAATTCTTGAAATTTCATGTTTGAAAGTGTCGCGTATAATCGAAAATCAATCTTTTAATCCTCGATTTAATCGATAATCGATTCTAGTATCTTAGATTCGAATCGATTCAGAGATCGATTTTTTTAAGAGTGAATCGACATGCCTATTTAGAGATCGATTTTTTAAGACTAAATCGACATGCCTATTCCGAAATACAACCCAGTACACTGTCGAATGCGAATGACGTCATGAATCGACGCTATACTTGTGATTCGTTCCAGAATATAGGTCAGTATATGACGTCATACATTTACGCCATATTGGAAAAGTGTTGGCGATTATTTTGTCATTTTGTGCTATAATTATTCTATAATTTTTTGCATTTGAATAAATAAAAACTAATTCTGGCATGCTTCATTCAGCGCACACACAATTAAAAATTGTTTTATTGTGGCCGGATATCCGACGCAATATGGCGGCGGCACGGCAGTACAATATAGTGTCAATTGATGACGTCATTTGCATTTGCCAGTGTACTGAGTTGTATTTCGGAACATACACAAAATGCTTTGCTTGTTGCTTGTATTCTACTTCTAGGCATGCATGTCGATCTGAAATCGATTAATGGAAGAATCGATTTTTTGTACCGAAATATAACTGAATCGATTAGTGAATCGATATTTCACCCTAGAAAATTGAGAAATATTGTATATATATTTATATTCCACTAAGTGAAAAATCTGTTTCATTCGAATGTAATGAAATTAATTTCAATTGAATTCAGGCTATGTGATCACCAGTAAATATGTGAGTGAATTATGGTATATATATATTTTTCTATAAAAGAATATATATAATTTAAAAAAGAAATATTAATTTTTTTTTGCGCCCGAAGCAATTAAAGGGCTACCCTATACGTAGGGAGGCGGAAAATGCATTACGCATACCACGATAGCCGGTCTATCGTGGTTATGAGGGGCTCACTGTCCTACCGGGGACCCTAAGTGATACCCTCTAAAAACCGCCTTTGGGGACAGGCAACCGGCTGATTAAGCTCTATTGTGCCTTATCATGAGCGACCCTCTTTTGGGAAAAGAGGGCGCAGGCGGCTAAGTGCCGCTGAGGGAGTGCCTACGAAGGCAAATTAATGTTAGTTATTACAATAATTTTATTTAATTAGAGTTGGCCTGAGCCGCCAGGGGACAGTTCAGGTCGTTTGAAAGTTTATTAGGCGGGTCCGAGAGAGTTTCTCGGTCTGCGGACACGATAGCGAGAGGGGGGTGGGGCTGCATAAGAAGCTGCCTCACGAATTAATTGATTTGGGTGCGACTCTGAGGCTTTGAAGAAGTTCTCAGAGAGCTTTTTAAAAAATTGTTGAACTGTTGGGAGCTCTAAGTCCCGATGAAGTTCGGCATTACGGACGTACCAAGGTGCGTTCGCAGCTCGACGACAGAAGAGGTTCTGAACTATTTGGAGTTCATTTAAAATATTTTTAATATTATTATATATTTATAAGGGTTTGCGTGGGCAAAGACGGGGCCCGCGTAGGACATGACTGGTCGTATACAGACCTTGTAAAGGGTACGCTTGTTTCGAAGGGACATTTTACTGTGTCGGCCCAACATACTGTTGAGCCTACTCAGATAAAAACGTGCGTGACGGGTTACTCTTTTGACGTGGGGCTTGAAAGTGAGCCCTGTGTCTAGAGTGACACCTAAATATTTGGCGGACGTATGCCAGGGGACAGGGGTCACTAGCATACGTATTGGTGGAGTGTTTTTGAGACGGCGTCGTTTATAATCGAAGTGAACGGCGGAGCTCTTCTCCGGGTTCACATCGATGCGCCATTTTTTGAACCAAGCTCCTAGGTCATCAACTGACTTTTGGATCTTGTTCCGTATGAAGGGTAGTGAGACACCTTTGCAGTAGATGGCAGTGTCGTCTGCGAAGAGGGAGAGTTGAACACCTTTCGACGGGATGGGAATGTCGTTGGTGAACAGGATGTACAGCAGAGGAGCAAGTACTGAGCCCTGTTGGACACCAGCCTTGATAGTTCGCTGTGAAGAAAGCGTGCCTAAAACGAAAGGTACGATGTTTTAAATAGGAGGCCACGAGACGAACTAGACGATCGGGGAGACCTATTTTATAGAGCTTGTAGATGAGGCCTGTGTGCCAGACTCTATCGAAAGCTTTAGCTATATCGAAAAAAGACCGCGATGGTCTTATGACGACGAGGATAGAAACCGCTGAGGATATATTCCACAATGCGGTGAACTTGTTGGGGACATGAGTGTTTGGCTCGGAAGCCGAATTGATGGGGAATGATAAGAGGGTCGCCGTCTGTGGGAAACAGATAGCGCCTCATACGCGTTTGGATGACTCTTTCGAAGAGCTTGCCCATTGCCTTGAGGAGGCTAATGGGGCGATGGCTGGAGGGGGAGGTCGAGAGGCTTGCCTGGCTTGGGAATTCCAATCACAGTAGCCTCTTTCCGCGTAGTGGGGAAATAACTGAGGTTGAAGCAGGCGTTGAAGATAATAGATAAAAAAGGTTAACACCTGCTCAGGAAAGTGTTTTAGGGCTTGGTTGGAGATGCCATCCGCGCCCGGAGCCTTTTTGGGCTTAAGTCCTTTGATGAGGGATGAAATCTCATCATTGGACACAGAGATAGGTTCGGAGGCCGTAGGGGGTGAGTTCCGGCGGCGGACCTCATCCTCCACTGCCTGGACGTGAGAGGGGTCGACGGGTTGAGAACTAGGAGAGCATTGAGCGGCAACGCTATCTGCAAAGCACTCAGCCTTTTCCTCGTCCTCGAAGGCAACCGTGCCGTCGGGACGGGAGAGAGGGGGAGTGTGGGTGATAGCGTCTATGCGGAGGGCTCTAGCCATCTGGTAGTACGCTGTGTGAGAAGGAGAGATATTCTCCATGAGCTTACTCTTTTCGAGGTCTCGAAATTCAGAGAGGCGGAAGCGGAGTTCTCGTTGAAGACGATTGGCCGCACGACTATATTCGGGGGGTGGGATATTTTGCTGCTCTCCGGAAAGCAGCTTTTTTGGCTTTTAATAGGTTGCTAATATGTAGGGGAAGCCCACTATTGTTAGCAACCGGGACGACCCTTTCGTTCTCCTTAAGGGAGGATTTAATAAGGGTGGAGAGTGAATCGACCGCGGTGTCGATTTTTTCGGGACTATCTAAGTCCGACGGTAGGGAGATGGTAGAGTCCTGTGAGTCCAAAGCTTTAGCTAGGGACTCCTTGAATCCCTTCCAGTTAGTGAAGGTTTTCGTGTGTGTTGGGGGAGGTGGCTGATGGCCAAGAATGAGGGAGACCGGTCGGTGATCTGATCCTAGATCGTCTAGTGTCTCGATTGCTCCGAGGTTGAGAGAAACTCCTTGGAGTAACGCAAAATCTAACACATCGGGGGGCGTGATCGGTGTTATCGGGGAAGTGAGTAACACCGAGAGGACTATGGACGGTAATATCAAGAGACTGCGTGATATCGAGCAGTATCTTGCCACTAGGGGACGTAGTGCGGCATGTCCATTCAGTATGCTTGGAGTTAAAATCTCCAAACATAATGACTGAATTGCCTAAAGATAAAATGGCCTCAAAATCCTTTTTGAGGGGATAGGTTCCTGAAGGGATGTAACAGGAGGCTATGAGGATGGACTGATGTCCAGTCATAGCTAGCCTGCATACCGTGGCTTCCATGTTGGTAAGCTACGGAGTAGAAATGGGCGAGCAATGAAGTGTCTTCTTGTAATAGATGGCCGTTCCGCCGCCTCGGCGGTCGGGTCTGTCGTTACGAAGAAGAGAGAAGTTTTTAATAGAAAGGCCTCTAGTGTCCTTAGCTTTGAGATTAGTTTCCTGTAGGAGGAGGAAATCGACTTCACGATTCCGAAGAAAGAGCTTGAGCTCTGGGAGGTTATTTCGCAAGCCGCGAATATTAAATGATACAAGCGATAAACCCTTAGGTTTGATACGACCGTGAGATCTTGGTAGGTTAATTCGCTCAGTCATTGAAGTTAAGTTAATTAAGTTAACCTAACTTACAACGCTAACAGAAGGTTATTGTGCTCCGCAAGAACGAGGAGACGTTCTTGGGGGGACTTGGCCGCGCGCAGTTTGCGTGATACTACTGTTATTTCCCTAACATCGATATTCCTAATAGCGGAATATAGCGTGTTGTAGTCGTCGATTGTGGGCTCTGCTTCATGAGCGTACGAGGTTGTCCGCGGTGGGTCTGCCTTTTTGGGCCCCCAGGGAAAGACTGGAGGCTGCATTGGCTTGGAGAAGCCCGGAGGGGGGCCGAATTATGCCCTGAGGGGGGCCTAGGGGGACCCTGAGAGGGTCGAGAGAAGCCCTGGGTGGGCTGAGAAAGGCCCTGACGGGGCCGTTGTTGGAGGGCCGGGAATGAGCGGTCATTCATCGGCGGTGGAGCTTGCCTACTGGGGCGAGGTTGAGGTGCGCGTGGGCAACCCTTGTAATTAGCCGGGTGTCCTGTCTGGTTGCACAGGACACAAGCGGGCGGGGATTCGGCATCTTTGGGCCGGGACACTCTTTCGTGTTGTGTGGTTCTAGGCACTTAACGCACCTGGGTGGGGCGGAGCAGTTGGCCGCCGCGTGACCATAAAGTTGGCAGCGGTGGCACTGCGCCGGGAAACCGGGCCTATGTGGGGGCTCTACCCTCACCCTTGACAGGCCACACACTGTGCGTACCTGCCGGAAGATGGCTTTAGCCTCCGGCACGTTTGATAGGATTACTAGGGCAAGGTTGTATCTCTTGCCCGTTCTGTTGTGCATTTTGTGCACGGCTTCGACGGGAAAGCCTTGGGACTTAAGGTCCTCAAGTATTTCCTCGTTCGAGAACTCGAAGGGGACGCCTCGGATGACGGCCCTGACTTTACGCTCTTCCGGGAGAGCGTAGGTGTGGTAGGAGACTCGTTCGGCTGTGAAAAGTCTGGTGAGTTTTCGGAAATCCTCGATCGAGCTGGGGATGATTTTGATAGCCTCCCCGAGGTTGACAGCATTGTCGTACTTAATTCCTGCGTCGTAGCAGGTTTTCGACAGTTTGGTAAATTTGGCCTTGTCTCTTAGGAAGACAGGGGGGCGGGACTTGCTTCTTAGCAAGGACTGGAGCACATCGAGAGGAAGGTTTAGATGGAGTTGGGATGTCAAGGGACATGAGCGGGATGGCGGCAGCGGCGGGGGCTGCGGAAGTTGGAGGAGCGGCAGGGGCCGCTGAGATAGGCGGGGTGCGTTTTATCGCGGCGCGCTTTCCGTTGCGCTTGGAGTTGACGGCAGTGAATGTGGACTCCCCGGTTCCGTCGGAGTCAGAGGACTCCGATGAACCGGAGCCTGTAGTAGTGGCGCGCCTCTTCCGGGAGGACGGCGCCGAGGACTCGGAGCATGCGTACTCCATTTCTAGGGGGGCAGATTCGAGCGGGGCAAAAGAGTTCCTCGTTTCGAGGTAAGATGCGATTACCGGCGGCGGATGGTGTGCCTGAGGGGCAGGGAGGGAAGCCTGGGCGGCGATGGTGGCGATGGCGGCGAGGACCGTCTCATTGCCATTTAAACCGAATTGGTTAATGAGGGCGGCGAGGGACTCAGCGAAACTGGGTGTGGCCATTTTGGGTCAGTAAGCTAGGCTAGGTAAAGATGAGGACGGGTCCCTGTTCTCGGTAGAACAGGGACTAGATCGCGAGACGTACTACGACACACTATACACGTAATACAAGAATAACAAGAACACAAGAAAATAAAGGAGACAGTAAAAAAAAATGATAATGAAAAATGAAAATGGAAAATGAAAATGAAAAATGAGAATGAAATGAAAAGTGAAAATGAAAAGCGGAAGTCAGTCAGACCTCCCTGCCCGAAGACAGGGGGGCAAGAACTGTAGCGTAAAAGTGACTCACCGGCAGCCTCGACGCTGTTCCGCGTGTGCAGGACAGCGGAGGCGCGTGAGAGCGCGACAGCACTATCGTACTGTACGGGAGCGCGGACCACCTGGAGGTGACCGTCCGAGAATGATACCGCCGGCGGACTGAGCACTGCGTCGGCGCTGTACAGCGCGAGCGGGACAGTGGGGGCGCGAGAGCGGGGAGCACTACCGTACAGGAACGAAAGCGCGGACTACCTGGATGCAACCGCTCGGAAGCGATGCCACAGGCGGAATGAGAAATATTAAATAAATATTGTGTGATTAAATAGTGCGCGGACCGACCAAACAGCCGCCAGTCACATCTATAAAGCGTGAAAAATCTGCTTTTGGCGCCCACTTCACCTTAACGGAAAACTTTTACAAGCTGCTGCTGATGAAGGATAAGATTATACGACACCAAACGTTTTACTACTTATGTAGTGATATTGATATTCTTTTAATTCACGCATTTCCACTTCATATCAACATACTAATCGGTCCAGTGAATCAATACTTCACCCTTAAAAATTGAGATCGAATCTTTTTCTGTTTTTATAAGAACTATAAAATGATTTATTTATTTATTTATTTACACTTTATTGTACTAAAGGTACAAATGGCGGACTTAATGCCATATGGCATTTTCTACATGTTCCTTTACCTTTGTTTTAAAAATCCACTTGTTAGGGGATTTTCTTATTGCTAGGTGAAGCGCATTCCAGAGTCTTACAGCTGTAACAGCGAAAGAGTTTACGAGGAAACCAGTAGGGTGAGAGGGAGTATGAAGCACGAAATTGTTACGAGAGCGAAGATTGCAATCATGGGAAGAACCCAGGTATTGAAACTTACATTTCAAATACTCTGGGGCCAATGAATCGTTAAAAATAGTGAACAGAGTGTTAAGAATTCTAAAGCTCCTGCGTTGTGGGATATTTAACCATTTAAGTTGAGAGCGATAGAAAGAGACGTGGTCATACTTTCGTAGACCGTAAATGAAACGGATACAGTTGTTGAGAAGCCGATCCAATTTATTGACCAAGTATTTGTCTACATCTAAGTAACACACATCAGCATAATCAAACATAGGAAGAATTAGCGATTGCATTAGAAGTTTCTTCGGGCAAGGCGGTAAGATATTTTTATATCTGTACAATTGTCTCAAAGTAGTACAAACTTTACGGCTAACTTCCTCAACATGACTGCGCCAAGTAAGTGAACAATCCATTGTTAATCCCAAGCCCCTAACACGAGAGCTGTAAGGAATTACCTCGCCATTATAAATCAGAGGATCGAACGATGTATGATTAAGTTTACCTAATTGACGTGCACTGCCTAAGACTATAACTTGGCATTTGCTTGGATTAACAGCGACCCCGTACCTTCTTGACCCATTAAGAATCCAGTCAAGATCGGAGTTAATCACGGTTACAGCATTATTTATGGTAGTAGCATCGGCATGAGCATAGAGTTGCAAGTCGTCGGCATACATATGGTATAATGTAATATGGTAAAATTACAAGTAATCATGTTAATAAATATAGAGAAAAGTAAAGGAGAGAGAATTCCACCTTGCGGAACACCAGTGGTTAATTCACCCCAATCGGACACCATACCATCGACACGAATCGCCTGCTGGCGACCACGAAGATAGTAGGAGACCCAATTCCGTGCTGATAAGGAAAAACCTATGTAAGACAAGATGGTGATGAGAATATCATGGTCAACGGTATTAAAGGCGTTAGAAAAATCTATTAAAACTAACACCGTCAACTTTCCAAACTCCATGCCATCACGCACATCCTCTGTTATTTTTAAAAGCGCCGTTGTGGTGCTATGTCCAGGTCGATATCCTGATTAGTGTTGATTCAGTAAGTTGCTTTTGGTTAAGTGAGTTTGTATCTGTTTGAGCGCTACAGACGGCAAAATCGAGATAAGCCGGAAGTGGTTGAGAGCACTGATTTACAATTAGTTGTATGCACATAAACTCGTAAATAATGTTACGAGCTTGAGGTTCGTGACAATAAAAACTGACGATATTACCGAACACCATATTTAAAGAATAGCCATTGACGTGGCGGGTCCGTTTCCGGAAAATGAAAGTGGTAACAAGTATTTCATGGTTGTGATGGATCATTTCACTAAGTGGCCAGAAGTCTTCGCCATTCCAAATCAAGAATCTTCAACATCTGCAGATAAACTAGTTCATGAAGTCTGCTGTCGTTTTGGAGTACCTTTAGAGATTCACAGCGATCATGGAAGGAATTTTGAGTCTCAAATATTCCAGGGAAACTTGCCGATTTATGAATACTCAAAAAACAAGAACGACTTCTTACCACCCACAGTCTGATGGAATGGTGGAACGATTTAATCAGACATTGGAGAGGTACCTAGCAAAAGTTGTAGACAATCGGCAACGAGATTGCGACAAGCAAATACAACCGTTTATGTTGTCATATCGAAGTTCTGTTCTCGAACACATCAGTACATCAGTGACACCAGTTTTCGCAAACTTTGGAAGAGAATTACGGCTGCCTGCAGACTGGATCACCGGGATACCATCTGATGCCCCACGCAATATAACCGATTATGCAAATGACTTGCGGACCAAAATGAATGACATTTATGAGCACGTCAGACAATCGGGCCAGCAAATTTCTGAAAAGATGAAAACCGGGTATGACCGCAAAATGAACAAAAAAGGGTTCGACGAAGGTTCACTAGTGTGGTTGCACAATCCAGTCCGCAGCACAGGAAAATCTCCTAAACTTCTAGCTAAATGGGACGGCCCGTACCGGATTGTGACCAGGATCAACGACGTAACCTACCGGATACAGAAAGGTGCAAGAGGTACTCCTAAGATCGTCCATGTGGATCGACTGGCGCGTTATTATGGGACCGATAATGCTCTGGACGAGTATGTCTTAGGAGGGGGCAGTGTTGCACGATTTGGGTTTCAGCTTCCGACAGGCGGTTGTTATGCTGAGCAACCCTATCATTCACCTCCTTTATCTCCTTCCCGAAGGTAGCGTGAAGGTCCTTCATGAGGAGAATCTGCTCTTCCAACCGACGGGCCTGTTCCTCTTGTCCGCCCTGCAGCTGCTCTTTCAACTGACGGACCTGTTCCTCTTGTCCGCCCCGCAGCTGCTCTTTCAACTGACGGACCTGTTCCTCCTGCTGCTCTTTCAACCAACTGGCCTGCTCCTCCTGTCGGCGAGCCTGCTCCTGCAGCATCACCATCAGAGCACCTAAGTCAGGTGCTGCAGATGTAGGAGCTACTGACGGGCCTGCAGCTGGTGGCTGGCCCTCCGACGTCTGCGACGTTGCACCACCAAATCTTCTTTAGTCCGTCTCCTGCTAGCGTTGACTTCGGGTACGGACACCCTCCGTTTCCTCCTTAGGTAAAATCGGCATGATTTTATCCCACTTCTGACAACAATTGTTACGAGCTTTAGGTTCGTGACAATAAAAACTGCCGATTGAATTACCAAAGGGGAATGCCCACTCTTCATAGACACTCCGGCCATGGGTGCCCACATATAAAAGCATATAGATATGATAATATGCAATTAAAGCAATGAAATGAGGGTAGATGGCGCTGTTACCACGGTTAACATCGACTCCGTAGTAATTAATTAATTAATATTGTGTTAATCCCATATAAGTGCATGAAATCATTTGAGATAAGAAGATCGGTGTCAGACTAAGTGCAGTCAGTGTTATTTATAAAAAATATTAGGGGCCAATAAAGTTATATTCGATTAATTGTGATGAACTTAATTATGTGGTGAATTATCTATTCACGGTGTCATGCTGTAAACAGAAACTGAGTTTTTTATATCATTACGTATACAGGACCGAAATTCATGTTCATCAAGCTTGGTGAGTGAAAATTAGACAGTAATTTCAGTAAATATTATTAATCGTGGACGTTACTTTTTAAACTTGACAATCTACGATAAAAACAAGATCAGCTGACGTTCAAGTATCAATGACTCGTTACTAGATGTCATTACTCTCCATACTTGAGGTCATATTAGACATATAACTCCATCTACATATCTTATTGAGAACTACAAGTTGAAATCGATTCTAAGTATCTAAATAGCAACATTATAATAGTTCTACTATTCACCACTACGAAGAAAAATTCTAAAACATTTGATTTATTATACATAGTTCAGTTACGCCATCTACAAAAATATTAAGAAATTAAATAGAAAAGTAAAGTATAACAGCAGAATGACTTCTAAAGCGAGTACAAAATCCGCTAACACCAGCCATAAGATGTCAGCACTAGTATGTTGCTTTAAATGCAAAAAGTATGTTGATATGAAAAATACACTATTATGTTCAGGATGCGAAAAAAGATATGAATTTCACTGTGCCGGCTATTCCGAGAAACTTTACCGTTTAAAATATCAAGAGGCGAAAACGAAATGGAAGTGTAAACTTTGTATTAAAAATTATAGTAAAAAATATTTGACATCATATAATAGCGAATCATCCAACGTCATCTGTACAAAATATTACCGAGGTTTCACAATCTACACCTCAAAATACGTTTTTCTCTCAGACAATGGACTCACACGTACTCACCGAGAACGAGTTATCCGTGAATCCTATTCCACGCCAAGAAAATTATCAAGGAGTGTAGGCGGTACTATACTAGAGACAGTAACAATCCAAGAGTTAAAAGAATCAATAACTCAACTTACTCTTGAACTCAGTAGTACACAAAATGAACTAGAAAACACAATACTAGAAAATAATACTCTCAACAGACAAATCAATAAGTTGACTTCAGAAATAAAAATATTACAGTCATTGTGCCATACACCAGAAACAGAGAACTTCCACGCCATGTCGTCACGGGAATTCTACGCCTTTAGCACCAAAGGAAATATCGAATGACAGTAATAATATTTCTATATCTTCTCTACAACAAAAAATTACTGACTTACAGCAGCAATTGGAAAACGCTAACAAGGAGATCTCTAAACTTACTAACCAAATTGATATTCTGACATAAAAACTGCAAATTCAAATACCATTTAATTCTTCTAATTTTAAGAATACATTTATAAAGAAAACAAATATGTCAACCTAAAAATAGAATATTTATTTGGGGCACTTAGCAGTGCGTAGGACTAGCATCTTCTATTATACATTCAAGAGAGTCGACAAATTATGAAAAATACAAAATTTTTGCAGAAACCAAACCTAATGCACTTAGCATGGAAGTAAGTCTCGCTCGTGATGTTGTACGAAACAGCTGACTTGTGTTTACGTTTACAAAGTTTTTTTTTACCCTTAGTTTGAAATTATAATAAAAACTGCGCAAAAATGCCCAAGTGTGACAACTATGACAAACTAATAGCCAAGAAATCCGCTATTCTCGAGTGCAACACATGCTCAAAAACAGTGCATGCTACCCAGGCATGCACCAGCCTAACATCTAAGCAATTAGCAGCACTGCGCAACACTGAGAATCTGGAATAGACCTGCGAAGTTTGTCGCCGTGAAACTCCAAGGCAAAGGTCATTTGTCATACAAGAGGAGGAAGAGGAAGACGACGAGGAACCATTATTAACACAGGAAACTGACAGCGGATCCAACGCGATGAAAAAGTTACTAAGCGACATATCATTCGAGGTTAAAAAAGCAGTAAAGAAAGAAATAGGCTCAGTAAATGAAGCGCTCAGCTCTTGTCAAAAAATGGATGGAATAATGGACACTTTAGTGACGATTAGCGGAAAAATAAAAGAACTGGAAAACAAGAATACATATTTAACAAACCAAAATAAATATCTAGAGCTGAAAATCGATGCTACGGAACAATACATTGGAAATCTTGAGCAAAAACAGCTTAATAATACATTTGAAGTCGCAGGAGTACCCGAAATAAAAGACGAAAATACGGAAATTATCCTAAATACACTAGCAACGAAGTTAAATATTGTAAAAAAAGAAATAACTACAGTTAAAAGATTGAAAGGGAAAAATGGAAAGGAGGGCGTGATCCAGTTATCTTTGAAACAGGAGGAACAAGTGGACCAGTGGATAAAAGCTGCAAGAAAAGTAACTACACTTGTAGTGGACATCGTTTCTTGTCCAGATCCTGCTATAGCAAAAACAAAGATAATGATACGACGTGCCCTAACCAGTGCAAATAAAACTCTTCTGTGGCAAGCTAAGCAAAAACTTAAGGTTACTTATAAATATATATGGTTCCAGGGCGGTAGAATTTTAGTTCGTAAGAATAATAACGATAAGCCTGTGATCATCCGAAACCTAAGTGACATTGAAAAAATGGCGGTGGAACATATTGTAAGTCGGTAGTAGAAACTTTACGCACTAGGCACTACTTTGGAAGTAACTGAAATTTATGATTCGGAAAATTTATGTGAATTTAGTACCTATCTACCTAAACATACAAATCTTTTTAATATTGTACATTTAATATTAGATCTATTATCAAAAACTTTAGTGCATTACTGCAAACAATAAACCAATCACCAATAGCTATAGACGTCATTATCCTAACTGAAGTAGGAATTTCAATAAGTAGTAATCTGTCTCAATTATTTTCTATAAACGGGTATGAAATGTGCAGTAATCTTCGTGGGCAGCAACGTGGTGGTGATATTATAATGTACATTAAAAATTGCCACAGTTTTGAAGTAGTAAACAACTTAAAATTAACCCACTGTGAATCATTAATTGTAAACGTCCATCTTACCACCACTACACGACTCACATTTGCGCATTATATCGACCGCCTAATGAAAGCAAGCATCTCTTTATTAATGAACTTAAAGTACTACTATGTCACAATTTAATCAAACACTCTGACTTGTACATAATCGGAGACATAAATATTGACCTGGAATTAAAAAATAACATTCACGATTACTACTTAAGCTGCTTGGCCGAGTGTGGTCTGACGAGAGCGATTTCTGATTTTACAAGAATAGAGATTCGAAATGAAAAAATCACGCGGAGTTGTATTGACCACATATTCGCGAGATCGCGCACGTATGACATCTACTCGGCTGCGCTTGGAACAGTACAGGCGTACAGGCTGAGTCAAAACTCAAACAATTAATTAATAACAAAAAATTAATATCACTTCTCGAAAACGTCGAGTGGAATAAGATTGATAATATGCAGTGTCCGATAGAGATATATAACTTTATTCAAAATAGCTTTGAATACTGTTATAATAATTCTAAATATACTACAAAGACTACCATAAATAGTAAAAGAAATAAGGAAAGATGGATAAATAATAAGATAAAATTTTACTGCGCAAAAAGAGACTACCTGTATAACAAGTGGAAAAAAGATACAACCGATAAAATATTAAGACTATAGTTTAATAAAATTAGGAATAAAACACATAAACTTATTGAAATGTCTCGAAACAAATACTATTATCACGAAATAAATAATAACAAAAATAATCCAAGGAAGCTATGGAATATTCTGAATTCCATCACAGGCAGAGTAAATAAATCATTAGATGCGGCGATATTAAAGGCTTTTCAAAAAACAACAAATTAACAGCTAAACAACTGGCAAATAATTTTGGTAAAGATTTTGTTAAAAATGTTGAATAAATACTACCCAACTGTAAACAAAACCTCTTAGATCAAGCAGAGTACATATTTCCTCAGAATAGTTCAATTCGGTTTAAAACAGCAGATGGCAAGAGCATAAATAAAATAATCCAGAAATTGAACACAAACAAATCCGCTGGAGCAGACCAGATTCGCTGTATAGACATAAAATCCTTATGTGAAAAAATCACAACAGCAATTGCAAAGTTGGTTAATACTAGTGTTCATTCTGGTATTTATTCCTCAGAATTAAAGGTAGGAATAGTGAGACCCATCTACAAAAAGGGGTCGCACTGTGATTATGACAATTATAGGCCAATTACAATACTTCCTGTAATAGATAAAATAGTTGAAAAATATATATGTAGTCAGATACATAAATATTATATATCGAATGACATTCTGTCCAGCACTCAGTTTGGCTTTCAAAAAAATAATTCAACTACTTCTTTGTTATCAAAATTTACCGATGAAATTAATACTTATTTAGACAACAAACAACACATAATTCTTTTATTTATTGACTACAGCAAAGCATTTGATACTCTGAAACACGATTTATTAATACAAAAACTGGAAAATACAGGCATATGCGGGCCTTTACTCAGGTGGTGTGAAAATTACCTCAAAGGTAGAAAATACCGGGTGAGAATTGAAAATGATTACAGTGATGAAATACCTGTAACTACTGGAACAGCTCACGGATCGGTTCTTGGCCCTTTACACTATCTGGCCTTTGTAAATGACATGGGGAATGTGATTAAACATAGTTCAGTGTATCAATATGCAAACGATAGTTGCCTAGTAATAGCCAATAAGACATAGCAAAAGCAGAAAAAATGTTACAACATGACTACTAACCTCTGTATGTGGTCACATGACGCGGGACTCGTATTAAATTCTGGTAAAACTAAAATTATACATGTATGCTCGATGCACTCTAACAAATACGAAAGACCAATAAAAATACTAGCACACAGCCACGATTGCCTTCATAGTTCGTCTAAATTAAATATTAACTGTAATTGTAATTCTCTAGAACAAGTTAACACTTATAAATACCTAGGTCTGATTGTGGATGAAAGATTCAATTGGGGTAAACACGTTGAGCATGTACTCGTATGTAACAAGCTACGGGCTATGCTAGCAAAGTTTGCAATACTAAAATACAAAATGCCATTTCCCATCCTTATAAATCTGTATAACACTCTTGCTGAGTCTCTTATTTCTTATGGCATTACAAGTTATGGAAAAACATTTAAAACTTACTTAGATAAAATATATAACCTACAAATCAGAATATTGAAAATAATTATACCTAAGAAAGTAAAAACAAAAATATACAGTGAAAACAATATTAATGGAATATTTAAATTTTGCAAAGTATTGCCTATACACACGAAATTTCAGATGCTAATACTAATAGAACAATTTCACAATAAAAAAGTGCAAGTTAAAACTAACCATAAAAATATTACAAGAAAAGTTATACAAAATAAACTCGTAACACCTAAAATATATAACTACTATGGTAAACGTACAAATAGATATTTAATTCCTACTTTAATGAACCAAATACCACCCACGATACTCTCCGATATCAATGAAGATAACTACAAAAACAAATTCAAAAAATATTTCTATGAACAGCTACAACGGGAGTAAATAAATATTAAATACAAAATTATATAATATACTTATAAAATCATCAATTAATTGTTGTAATTTATATATATATATATATATATATATATATTTGTGTGTACATATATCTCTTATATGATTAAATATGTATACTTGCAACTAAAATCAAAACAAATCAAAAATGAAAAACTATAAATAATAATAAAAAAAGATCAACTCACAGTTTTTGCACCAACCTGTATACTGCTTCTGCAACTACATAGATAATCCGAGCGCCCGATAAGAACGATCTAATTGTCACGCTCACACTCGTGGGCTCACAGAAACCGGTTTTTCTGTCAATACGGCCCGTCCAGAACGCCGGTTATTTGCAATTACGGTGATTTGAAATTTATCACTTAAAAATATGTACGTATTTACTTAATATTATTATTACTGTTTATAAGCAGCCATCAATTAGATGATTGTATTAATAGTTTGTATAATGTATGTGATTGTACTATTATTTAATTGTGTGAGACTGTAACTTGCGGACAAATCTCACGGTTTTTGCAAGTTAATTACATTTAACTCATGTATTTACTACAATGATATAAATAAATTTAAAAAAAAACTAAGACATGCCTAAATATGACGCTATCGACAAATGATAAATTGGTTTTATGTATGGGTGAAAATGACAACAATGTAAAAGTTATATTATTAAACTTACGAAAATTATTAGAAAAATATAACAAAAACAATATATTTGTATGTTAATCGATTAAATAAAAGTATCAAAAATATATGTAATGAAAATTCAAAGAATGTCTACAAAACTTATCGTGGTATGAAATTTATGTAGCAACTGACTTGAATAAGGCCTTTAACGCTTTTCACGAATTGATATGCCTTTTTTATTATTTATGCTTTCCAAAAATAAAACTAAAAATAAACGGTAGTTGCACAAAAATAAATTGGATAAGTCAAGGGTTAAAAAAAAGTTCTCGAACTAAACGGGTCTTGCGATACACATACTATAAACAAAAAATACACATAATAAAGTTAACTACTTAAACTATTCAAACATTTTAAAGAAGTGTATTTATAAATCCAAACAAATTGATAATATTAAATATATAAATAATAGTAACAACAAATGCAAGGCAGCATGGAGAATTATTAGAAATGAAATTCATAACCCGAAAGTTAAGGATACTATTAAAATTGGAAAGAACATAATATCTAATCCTATAGAAATAGCTACTGCTTTCAATGATTATTTTATAGATATGGCCACTAATCATACATCAACACAAAATTTAAATAAAAAATATGGTTTATGTAGAAATTCAAGAGTGAATTCGATGTATTTAAGACCAATGACAGAAAATGAAGTTAAAATAGAACTATTATCATTAAACAATACCAATTCAGGGCTGATAATTTAACTAAAATTTTGACACATCTAATAAATTTATCATTCTCGTCAGCAGAATTCCCAGAAGCACTAAAATTGTCAATTATAAAACCTTTATTTAAAAAAGGGCGAAAGGATGATGTTCAAAATTATCGTCCAATCACCTTAATACCTATTCTGGCTAAAATCTTTGAAAGATGTATGTATAAAAGAATAGTTGATTACTGTAATAAATACCAGATAATTAAAAGTGAACAATATGGGTTTCGAAAACACAGATCAACCTCACTTGCCATGTTTTCGTTAGTAAGAATAATACTTAATAACATAAACAACAGACAGTTAACAACAGGATTATTCTTTGACCTCTCAAAGGCCTTTGATTGCGTTTCACATGACATATTATTGCAAAAATTAGAGACAATTGGGATCAGAGGACCAATACTTCAGTGGTTATCGTCATATTTAAAAGACAGACAACAATAGGTTATCATTGATAAAATAGATAAAAACAATAACTTTACATCTCATTCATCTGGATATAAATATAATAAATTTGTCGTTCCGCAAGGAAGTATATTAGGACCGATTCTTTTCCTATTATATATTAATGACATTGTTCACATTACGAATCATAAATGTGTTTTATACGCTGATGACATTTCAATTAGTGTGACTAGCAATAAAATAATAATACAATTAGGAATCATGAAGATGACATTAATAATACAATTGACAAATTAATAGAATGGCTTGACGTAAATAATTTGAAAATTAATTTAGATAAATCTCATTACATAAATTTAATAAATCTATAAATTCATAATATTAAATTTAATATACCAAAACTAAAAAAAGTTACATGTACAAAATTTCTGGGAGTAACGTTAGATGATGATATAAACTGGAAAGAACAAATAGATAACGTATGCCGTAGAATCAATAAATTTGTATATACCCTTAAAATCGTTAAAAACATTACAAATATTAAGACGGCAATTGCAACGTACCACGCATACGTAGAGTCTATTCTTCGCTATGGAATTATAATATGGGGTAATAGTACTGACCGAAATAGGGCATTCGTTGCCCAAAAAAATGTATTCGTGCAATGTGCGAAGATATTTCTTGTAAACCAGTATTTAAGAGACTTGGTATATTACCCCTCCCGTCACTATACATTTATGAAGTTAGTATGTTTGTCTTTAAAAATAAGTCATTGTTTATTAAAGCGCGTGATATATATCCCTGAAATCGACGTGACCCAGAAAAACTAGTTCTAGATATTATTCCTAGAATCCTTAAATACAACAAAAGTTGCCTAAATATGTGAATAAAAATATTTAATAAACTACCTATTGAATTTAAATTATTAAGTGAAAGATTATTTAAGAAACATTTGTTTAATTGGTTAAAAACCGAATGTTATTATGACGTAAAAGATTTTTAGACTGTAATTAATTAATATTGTTGGTTCTGTATTCGCATGCTATTTACCATTGTTAGCGAAACACGATTGCACTAGACAAATAGTAAGATCTTTTTATACCGTGATTCTTGCAAATAAAAATTTATGATTTATGATTAAATGGTAAAGGAATTGCTTTAAAAAAAAGTCGGGGTTTTGAAGATATATAAGTTTTTATTTTCACAAATGCGGTTTTTTTAACAACTATTTTTATCGATTTTATTGCGTTTTATTTCTTTGATTTTTAATTCCAGATGTTTCGGGTGCTTTCCAGCACCCATGGTTACGGCGGACTGAGGTGACTGACGTCCCAATGTCAGTGTTAACCCGGAGTACCTTCAGATTTTTAATTTTTATTTATGGTCCGATCTACAGAACGAACTTACTATATCTTGAAGTCTTGCAGTGGTATGCTTGGGTTTAATTTTAATTTCATTAATTACAGGGTCCTAAGCAGGTGGTAGTACCAAGCCTCCTTCTCTATTGAAAAAAGATTTTTTATTTCAATAGTCTCACGTATCATTCTTGATAGGAATTGATGTTCCTTTTAGAGGATTTGTGATCTATCAAATCTTTTTTTTATGTCTATCTGGTTGGGGCCGTCCAGGATATGATAACAAACTGCAAACTTCCCTGAACTTTGATGCTTCACGTCAGCTCGCTTCAAGATGTAGCCAATCTTATCTGTGACACCCCTGACAAATGCTAGTACTGCACATGCTTAACTGTGGCCGGCTTCACTCGGTCACTGTGACGTAAGCGCGGACCCGAAGCTTGTTGCACGTCAACAAGCTTCCTGCTTGACGTGCTGAAGCTCGACGGCCAGATGTTTGCTGCCACAGATCCCTTGTGCTCTCTGTAACAAAGATTTGCTCACGGTAACTAACTGTGAAGGATGGTGGTGAGATTCATTGTTTTCTATACACAGTGTGACCTATGGTGTTGTTAGAATTTTGGATGACTAACGCATCTAGGAAATCTAAGAAATTATTTGCCTCTAATTTACACATCAATACATCATTCAGGAACTGAGCAGGAAGCAAAATATTAGTCTGATGCCGTTCCCAACCCAAATACCATATTACTGTCATAACATGGGTACAGCATCCGACAGTTCGACGGTCGACAGTACTTTTTAATTGAACTTCTACCAGAACCATTGCCACTAATTAAAATATATATAAAATACACTTTTGCGACTAATGGTGATGACTTGCAATTCTAGCCCTAAGTAAAGATCAGCTAAGGCTTAAGTTTATTCCTTCCATAATGCTGCTCCTCTGGTTATTACAGAGTTCTATCCAGTAGCAACCATTAAATCTTATATGCTCACCATAATAGTAGTGAGCTTGCTTTAATTGTTATGTGACGCAAGCAATTAATATTAAGTCGCTGTAGGTTACAACAGAAAATTCCACATTTTAAAGTCTACATTTATATTTCTAAAGTCTGCCTTCCTTAGCTCTATTTAGATTGCTTTCCCTAGCATACTCAGACAAATCATTATTTGTCTCTATATTTTGGTGAACTATTTCAAGTATTTGAGCCGCATCATCCCTGTCCCTTATTTTTGTGTGGAATTTATTAATTATAGCAGCAGCCACAGCAGTCTATCATCAAATGTGTAGAAGTTAAAGTAATATTAATGAAATATTTTAAATTCTCTACTCTACTACCCATATCGACACATAGTCACGGCTCTGTATTTATTAGCGTAACTTGTCATTAACGGAGATTCACCATCTGCTGAAGACATTGCTGCGGATTACAAATCAAAATGTAGATGCGTTGTCACCCGTGAGGACTAACATCATTTTCTCGTTTCCAGTAAAAAAGGTCTCCGGTTCTCTACACTCACCGTACAAAACAGCAGCATTAAGCTACTATTTCACGCTGGTATTCTGTGAGAGCGTGGTCCTTCCCCGATCGAGCCGACCCATTCATGCTACAATTATACTTCTAATATAACTGCAGTATGGCTCTACCACGTTTAACACACATACATTGTAATTAGAGACATACTCGCAATGCTGATGGAACAGTGAGTCCATTGGAATTGTTACAACCAGGTAAAAAACATTGATTTGTTGTTAGTGGTGCTTTTAAATAATTAGTTAGCAGTACACATACATACAGTTATGATCTAAGCTTCGTTATTCTGGGTGCAATACATTACTCACTTCAGATTGCAACGAGGACGGACTATATGGTTCAGATGGTTCCCGTTCTGCAGTTGAACGTGATGCTTTTCTATCAGTTCATTGCCAGCAATTATAATACACACGGAATGACAACGGCAACTGAAAAAAAATACAAAAAATGAAGTCAAAGTGAAAAAAATAAAAATAAAATAGATGTATTTTAAACTCAAATATAAATAACATATTTATCAAGTTAAATGTTACTGCACAAGGACGGACTTAATGCCCTATATTATTTAATAATTAAGGCCTGACAGACTATCAGCAGTCCAAAAACAATGAAAAATCAACTGTCTCCTTATTTGGTAGTTGATAAAAACGGTCAATCTCATAAATAACCTAGTATGTTTGTCAGATATAGCTTGTGCAGATGTGAAAAAATAAAACAAGTTCTTGAGTTGATATACAATCAGTGTAAAAACATGTATAATTATCAGATATGAGCATCATACAAAAGGCGAAGAAACTGGATGTTTGGCGTATCGGGCTAGGATGCATCGTCTTTTTGCTGAGCTGGAGCCATCTTTAACCGTCACAGAGCAAAACCTGGCAGACCGAGTTCGGTATATCTTGCGCTCAAATATATTTGATGTCGCCGAACTCGAACGGCTACGACGTGAGGCTGTTCCCTCATCGGATGAAAATGCTACGGCTGAGGATGCGGCGCCACAAATTGTAGAGCAACCCGCGAACGTGGATGCCGCCGTGAATACCCCAGTTGTGATTGATTCAAACGATGATGGAACAATCGCCCAGGAACTGGAATTAGAGCATATGAGGAGTACATTGGAAGGGGCGATTGTGGAAACGCGCAGTACGCCTCTCGAAAATTGACTGCGACTTCCCCGCATAGCCCTAAGCAAGCGGAATCGGGCTGTCGTGAGGGCTCTGAACCCAATGCTGGTGACCTATTTGGAAGCCAGCCGGGACCTTTGCGAGAAGGACTCAATTCTTTTTGGCGCCGCGCTGGCAGTCTGCCGTATCATAGGCGCCAAGGTTTCCACGGCTGGACGCGATACTGGCCAAAGTAGCGCTATCCCAGCATGGAGAAGAAGAATTGAGAAACGTATCGCAAAGGCTAGAGCTCTCATCGGACATCGGACAGACAGACTGATATGCTTCAGATCAGGCAATAACAGGCCAAGAATTGTGCGCACTATCAGGATGGCGTTTGCTGGGACAAATGTCAGTTTATCCCAGCCGGATATAACGCAAAAACTGACGGAGCGCATAGATGATCTGAAGCAGAGAATCGCTGCTTGGGGAAAGCGGATTCGGCGATATACCGAGAGGTCGACACGGTTCAACCAGAATCGACTCTTTCAAAGTGATCAGAAGAGGCTCTATGAATCATTGGAGTGACCAATGGTAAGTGGAATGGGCCCAGCACCGAATCTGGCCGACACTGTAGCATTCTGGCGTGGTCTGTGGTCAGAGCCCGTAAACCACAGCGAGGGCCCTTGGACGGAAGTTGTGGCGAGTCAGTGTGCGAGTATAACGCCCATGGACCCCGTCATTATAACACCGGATGACGTAGCTGAGGCGGTCCGTAAGTCCCCGAACTGGAAAAGTCCGGGACTCGACGGGCTGCATCACACTGGCTGAAGGGGTTCGTGGTGTGTTACACTGTGCTCACCCAACAGTTTCAAGAGGCTCTCAACAAGAATTCGCTCCCGAGCCTTTTCACTACCCGGATACCACAGACCCGAGCAAATACCGCCCCATCACGTGTCTACCGACCATATACAAGACACTAACATCCATTTTGAGCGCGAGAATCACTCGTCACCTGGACTCAAATCAGATGATGTCGCGCGCTCAAAATGGATGTCGGGGCGGTGGTCGTGGAACCAAGGAACCACTCCTCACGCGGTCATTGGCAAAATAGTGAAACGCAACCGTCGGAACTTCTCCGCCGCCTGGATAGACTTCACAAAGGCATTCGACTCGGTGCCCCCATACATGTCTAAAGAGAGTCCTTGAGCTGTACAAGATAGACTGTACGGTTAGAGATTTCATCGAGCAGTGTATGGGGCAGTGGAGTACGATCCTTTGTCATCTGGGCGAGCGGATGATGGCTGCGGAGAACCACATAAGGATAAGAAGGGGTATCTTCCAGGGCGATTGTCTGAGTCCAATCTGGTTCTGCCTCTCTCTGAACCCTCTCAGTACCTTACTGGAGGGCTCCGGGAGGGGATTTCAGCTACGGAAAGGAGGGACAAAAGTGACCCACCTTTTCTATATGGATGACCTCAAGTTATTCGCCTCCAGTCGCTCTCATCTTATGGAATTGCTAAACATCACTTGTGAATTTAGCAATTCCATTGGAATGGAGCTGGGGACGGATAAGTGTGCGGCCCTCCATGTTGAAAGGGGAAGGGTTACTAACTCTGAGGGCATAGACTTATCTATGCCCGTCAACTTAAGAACTCTTTCCGAAGCTGAAACATACCGATACCTGGGTATGTCACAGAACATCGGTATCGATGAGGCTGGTATGAAACAGTCAGTTTGCGACATGTTTTATGCACGCTTGACCAAATTGCTTAACAGCCTTTTGTCCGGTGTGAATAAGGCACACGCATATAATGGCTGGGTCATGCCTGTCCTCATGTATACCTTTGGCATACTCAGGTGGACTCAGACTGAACTTAACGCCCTGGATAGAAAAGTCCGCACTACCATGACGTCCCATAGGATGCATCATCCGAGATCGTCGGTAATGAGACTGTACTTGCCGCGAAAGCATGGTGGGCGTGGCTTCCTGAGCGCGCTCACCATGCATAAACGCGAAGTGTGCAGCCTCCGTGATTACTTCCTGGCGAGATCGGATGATCCATTCTATAAGGACGTCATTTCTTGTGATAAAGGCCTTACCCCTCTATCCTTAGCCAACGAGCAATAGCAAGACCCGGTAGTGCAGAGCATTTCCGACCGGGAGACCGTATGGAAGGAGAAGGAGCTCCACGGGAGGTTCTACAAGGCTCTACATGAGCCTTTCGTAGACACAGTAGCCTCCTTCTACTGGCTACGCTTTGGTGACCTCTTCGGGGAAACCGAGGGTTTTGTCTGTGCAATACAAGATCAGGTTATTAAGACCAACAACTATCGGAGATACATCCTAAAGGATAGCACCGTCGATATCTGTTGAGCTTGTCGCCATCCCGGTGAGTCACTTAGGCATGTCATCTTCGGTTGTTCGGCGCTTTATAACTCTGAGTACTTGCACAGACACAACCTAGTAGCCAGAATTCTTCACCAGGAGCTTGCTCTGAAATATGGTCTCGTGGATCGGAAATTGCCGTATTACAAGTACTTGCCGGAAGCCGAGCTCGAAAATGATCGCGCCAGGCTCTATTGGGAACGGGCCATCATCACAGACAGGACTATTCTTGCGAATAATAAGTGCTGATGGACCAGGCACAGTCAAGGATATTTTTGGTCGATATTACCATTCCGTATGTCGAGAACCTCGTAAAAGCCGAAACAGATAAACGAACAAAATATCTGGACCTGGCTCACGAGGTGACCGACATGTGGGGTGGTTTGCCGACCGAAATTATTCCTGTAGTCGTCTCTGCAAACGGGCTAATCCCAGTCAGCCTCTCGGGTCATCTGAGGCGGCTGGGACTACGTGGCGGACCGCTCCTGGCTAAATGCAGAAGGCGGTGCTCCTCGATACCGCCCGCATCGTCCGCCGGTTTCTTTCCCTTACCCCCTAACCCTCGGCCGTTTGGTCTCCTCTGCCGAGGGCCTTTCATTTCCATTTATAATTATATATTTATAGAACCCAACCAGATGAGAAAACTATATATATATATATATATATAAAAAATACCCCAAAATAATAATAAATAATAAAAATTACTTTAGAATTGATAGGAAAATACTCTCATAAACGAAGAAATTGTGTATTGGAAATACCAACCGAATCCTGTATTAGAAAATGGTAAGGTACAGGTTTACTGGGACAGATCAATTTTGACGGATCGATCAATTCCCCATAACCGGCCAGATATTGTGCTGATTGGCAAAGAAGTGAAGCGGACTTATTTAATTGACATTGGTGTTCCCAACTCACACAACATTCAACAATACTACACAGAAAAAATTTCAAAGTACCAACCACTTGCTGAAGAGGTAAAGCAGATGTGGCGACAAAATGAGGTAATTATAATTCCGCTTATCCTCTCAACTACAGGTATTATACCAAAACAGCTTAGTGGCAACCTTGAAAAATTGGGCTTAGCAAGATCTGTGCTCGATAAAATTCAAAAGGCTGTAATCTTGAGGACAACTGCCATTGTGAGGAGACATTTATCCTTGTAACCAAATAAGTTCCTTAATATCTTGCCGTTAAGGCCGATTTAAGGATATCACCCCATAAAGAGGAGTTACCGATAAGATAATAATAATAATATCTTGCTGTTAAGGCCGATTTAAGGATATCACCCCATAAAGAGTAGTTACCGATAAAATAATAATATCATTTATTCGCTTAAACATGGTACATCAGAGGTAACAAATATTAGATATTGTATATGGTCCTTACATGTTTACCACATCTGGCATGCGAAAATTGATTAATTTAAAACAAATAAATATAAATTAAAAATGTTAAAACTACAATCATTATTTCAAGCAAAGAATTTAAATATACATTATTCATTTAAATCAAATAAAATTAAAATAATAATCATCACGTCAATCATTATTAAAAGTAAAAATTAGAATGTCAAAAGAGTACATATATAAAATCTATAGATTACACAAAAAATAATCTAAAAGAATACAATAATGTCAAATTTAGGCAACAAGATTCTATTCATTTAAAAATTGTTTTACGTCATAAACGCACTTTAATAGTAACCAGCTTTTTAGTTTGGTTTTAAATTTACCAGTTTCTGTCTCTTCTTTAATGCTTACCGGAAGTTTATTATAAATTTTTACACTCATCGCATAGCAGCCATAATGATAAAATGCAGTTTTGGGTATACGTTCTATAACTAGTCTATTAGAATTTCGATTGCTACGCAAATCTACATAAGATGCTTTTTTGTAGGTATATATGTAAATGTTTTTTTACATGAACACTTGCTTCAAATATGTACATGCCTGGTAAAGTTAGAATGTTAAGATCCTTAAATAAGGGCTTACAGGAATCATATCATATGGCCCCAGTTAAGGCTCTCACACACTTTTTTTGAGCTATAAAAGCTCTTTTTGAATAAGAGCTATTACCCCAAACCCAAACCCCAAATTAACAATCCGTATCTTAATATTGTTGCAACATATCCATGATATGCAATGAGTGCGGTTTGACTTGACGATGTTCTTCTTAACCTATTCAAAACATATACAAATGTATTAATTTTATTACAAATTTCGTCAATATGAGCCATCAATTACAATTATTATCTAGTTTTATTCCCAGAAATTTCTTCTGTTCGTTTCCTTGCACTTTGTCGTTATTATATCGTATGTCGAGATCTAGTTTCTTTTTACTATTAATATAAAATTGTAAATAACAGGTTTTGACGATATTGACCTTCAAGTTATTATTATGTAACCATTAAATGACATAATTTATTGCGCATTTTATGTCGTTTTCGTAATAATCTTTATTTCCATGATTATTTTTTATGATTAAAGATATGTCATCCGCAAACAAAATGCATGGGAATGGAGTTGAATCCGGTAAATCATTTACATAAATTACAAACAAAAAAGGCCCAACAACACTTCCCTGAGGAACTCCAGCGTACTTAAGAACTAGTCGCGATCTGAATTTTGTCAAAATATTACTTTTATTAGGGCTTATAACTTCCACACACTGTTTTCTTAATGATAAGTATGACTTTATCCACTGCAATGTCAGTCCTCTTATTCCATACTTTTCTAGCTTACGTAATAAGGTGTCATGGCAAACAAAGTCAAATGCTTTTGACATATCGAAAAATGCACTTGTTACATTTACCTTATCATCTATTGCATCGGTGATTCTTTTTAATGGATCAAAACACGCCATCGTGGTTGATTTGTTTTACTGAAAGCCATACTGTTCTTTTTTTATAAATTTGTTTTCATTAAAATAATGACTAAGCCTATTGTGCATAGCTTTTTCAAAAATTTTTGAGAAAAGTGACAAAATTGTTATTGGACGATAGTTGTTAATATCTTTTTTATCACCTTGCTTAAATAAGGGCTTGATCAAAGATAGTTTTAATGACTCTGGAAAAGCACCTACTTTGAATGATAAATTTATCAAATATGTAAGTATAAGTGACAGTTCATCCTTGCAATATTTAATTACTTTTGTATTTACGCCATCATAACCTTAGCTTCTAGAATTTTTTAAATTAACTATTAATGACTTTGTCTCCTCCAGAGTAATTGGACGTAAAAACATGCTTTTGCACGGGATTTTTATGTTATACAGGTGTGTTTCTTTCGCTTGCTTAAGGTTAACTATCCTTGTATGGCTTTCATAATACTCACTAAAAGCATTAGCAATCTTCTGTGGAGATCTTAGACATTAATTATTCTTGTTTATCATGTTTAAATAGTGGTCGTTCAATTTTAATACTGCCTCTCATTTTATCATATTCCATGAACATTTTCCTTTATTATTACTGGTATTAATTCGTTTAAAATAATTTATTCTTTAAGACACGTCAATACACTTTTTTAGTTATTTGCTGTATCTTTTGTATTTTTGTTTATTGTCTTCAGTCTTTTTCTTATAATAACCACTTTTACGGATTTTATCGCGTTTATTTTTTCTTACTTTTTATTTTTATTTTTAATTCCCGACGTTTCGGGCGCTTTCCAGCACCCATGGTCACGGGGGACTGAGATGACTGACGTCCCGATGTCATTGTTAAACCCGGAGTACCTTCAGCTTTTTTTTTTTTAATTATTGTTTATGGTCCGATCTATGCAAAATGAACTGACTATGTCCTGAGGTCTTGCAGTGGTATGCTTGGGTTTAGTTTTAATTTTATTGATTATAGGATCCCAAGCAGGTGGTAGTACCCAGCCTCCTTCTCTATTGAAATTAGGATGTTTTTTAATTTCAATAGCCTCACGTATCATCCTTGGTAGGAATCGGTGTTCTTTCGCGAGGATTTGTGGTCTATCAAATCTGATGTAATGGTTGGGGCCGTCTAGGATATGATCAGGAAACTGCAGGGAAGTCTGCAGTTTGTTTTTTTCCAATTTGGTGAATAAAAAATGTAAAAGAAAAAAAAGCAATTATTTCAATAAACATTTATTTTATTTACAATAAGATAAAGACACTTGACAATAATTAATAAAAAAAACATCTCTGCGTACATTTTTACACCACAAGCTCGACAATAATGTGGGCCACTTAAGATGACCCGAAACAGGCACAAAAAAGGCACATTTTGTACTTCAATAACGACAATTCCATACCGAGATAAGTAGGTTAATGATATTAAAACAATGTTGTACGAGTTAGAGGGAGATACAGATACATTTACTACGGCTGTTTCGTGTCTGAAGTTTATAAGTAAATTGCAACCTTCTAAAGGTTGTGGACAGAAGCGCTTTTAATAGCGACCTTTAGAAGGTTTTGGACAGTTGAGAGGATATTTCATGTCTAGTTTTCTTGTCTTAATCATCAAAAAGCACAGATTATAAAATAAGATAAAAAGTTCCATAAAATTATATGCAGAATTGATATCCTTGTCCTCAAAAACTTCCTTAAAAGTAAGCTTTTTTATACATTCACGAAAAATATTAATGTAATATAAATTATAATTCCTTTTATACTCCCAAATATTATTTAACTTTTTTCTCTGTTTATGTACATCAATAGATAATATTTGCGCCGATTCATGATCTGATAAATATAATTTTTTAACACATGTTGTTGCATTCATTATATTACTAAATACATGATCTATACAGTTGTTTCAACGCGTTGGTTCATTAATATGTCTATATAAATTATAATTCGAAATGATGTTATTTAATTCAATTGTATTTTTGCTATTTTCCAAGGTATTAATGTAATTAATAATTTTGACAATAAGTTTTGTAGTTTAAAAAAGAATATATTCACATTTGAACCAGGTGTCCTATAGATGCATATTACGTAAATATTATGTAAAGGAATTTCTATTCCACAACATTCAAAATGCTCAGATTCTGTTAAATCTGAAATAAAATTTATTTCATTCCACTCTATATCTTCCTTTATCAAAATACATACACCACCTCTTATTTTTTTACGACCATAGAAACCAGCTAATTCATAACCATAAACATTATAATTAATATAATCACTTGCTTTAACAAATGTTTTTGTTAAACATAATATCAGGCTTATTCGCAAGAATAGTCCTGACTGTGATGATGGCCTGGCGCGATCATTTTCGAGCACGGCTTCCGGCAAGTACTTGTAATACGGCAATTTCCGATCCACGAGACCGTATTTCAGAGCAAGCTCCTGGTGAAGAATTCTGGCTACTAGGTTGTGCCTGTGCAAGTACTCAGAGTTAGAAAGCGCCGAACAACTGGAGATGACATGCCTAAGTGACTCACCGGGATGGCGACAAGCTCGACAGATGTCGACGGTGCCATCCATTAGGATATATCTCTGATAGTTGTTGGTCTTAATAACCTGATCTTGTATTGCACAGACAAAACCCTCGGTTTCCCCGAAGAGATCACCAAAGCGTAGCCAGTGGAGGGAGGCTACTGCGTCTACGAAAGGCTCATGTAGAGCCCTGTAGAACCTCCCGTGGAGCTCCTTCTCCTTCCATACCGTCTCCCGGTCGCAAATGCTCTGCACTGCCGGGTCTCGCCATTGCTCGTTGGCTAAGGATAGAGGGGTAAGTCCTTTATCACAAGAAATGACGTCTTTATAGAATGGATCATCCGATCTCGCCAAAAAGTAATTATGGAGGCTGCATGGTAAGCCTTTCATACCAGCCTCATCGATACCGATGTTCTGTGACATACCCAAGTATCGGTATGTTTCAGCCTCGGAAAGGGTCCTTAAGTAGACGGGCATAGATAAGTCTATGCCCTCAGAGTTAGCAACCCTTCCCCTTTCAACATGGAGGATCGCATACTTATCCGTCCCCAGCTCAATTCTAATAGAATTGCTAAATTCAAAAGTGATGTTTAGCAATTCCATAAGATGGCAGCGACTGGCGGCGAATAATTTGAGGTCATCCAGAGCTTCAAAGAGAGGCAGAACCAGATTGGACTAAGACAGTCGCCCTGGAATATACTCCTTCTTATCCTTATGCGGCTTTCCGCAGCTGTAATCCGCTCGCCTAGATAACAGAGGATCGTACTCCACTGCCCCATACACTGCTCGAGGAAGTCTCTAACCGTACAGTCAATCTTGTACAGCTCGAGGACCCTCTTAAGCCATGTATGGGGAACCGAGTCGAATGCCTTTCTGTAATTTATCCAGGCGGCGGAGAAGTTCTGACGGTTGCGTTTCACCACTTTGCCAATGACCGCGTCAATGAGGAGTGGTTCCTTGGTTCCACAACCACTGCCCCGACATCCATTTTGAGCACGCGACATCACCTGATTTGAGTCCAGGTGACGAGTAATTCTCGCGCTCAAAATGGATGTTAGTGTCTTGTATATGGTCGGTAGACACGTGATGGGGCGGTATTTGCTCGGGTCTGTGGTACCCGGGTCTTTAGGAACCAAATGGGTGATCCCAGTAGTAAAAAGGCTCGGGAGCGACTTCTGGTTGAGAGCTTCTTGAAACTGACGGGCGAGCACAGCGTGACACACCATGAACCCCTTCAGCCTGTAGTGATGCAGCCCGTCGAGTCCCGGACTTTTCCAGTTCGGGGCTCTACGGACCGCCTCAGCTACGTCATCCAGCGTTATGATGACGGGGTCCATGGGCGTAATACTCGCACACTGACCCGCCACAACTTCCGTCCAAGGGCCCTCGCTGTGGTTTACGGGCTCTGACCACAGGCCGCGCTAGAATGCGACAGTGTCGGCCTGATTCGGTGCTGAGCCCGTTCCACTTACCATTGTTTGCTCCAATAATTTATAGAGCCTCTTCGGATCACTCTGGAAGAGACGATTCTGGTTGAACCGTGTCGACCTCTCGGTATATCGCCGAATCCGCTTTCCCCAAGCAGCGATTCTCTGCTTCAGGTGGTCTATGCGCTCCGTCAATTTTTGCATTATATCCGGCTGGGACAAACTAACATTTGTCCCAGCAAATGCCATCCTGACGGTGCGCACAATCCTTGGCCTGTTGTTGCCAGACCTGAAACATATCAGTCTGCCGATGAGGGCCCTAGCCTTTGCGATACGTTCTTCAATTCTTATTCTCCAGGCTGGGATAGCGCTACTTTGTCCATTAGCGCGTCCAGCCGTGGAAAGTTTGGCACCTATAATACAGCATATTGCCGGTGCGGCGCCAAAAAGAATTGAGTTCGTCTCGCAAAGGTCCCTGCTGGCTTCCAAAAAGGTCACCAGCATTGGGTTCAGAGCCCTCACGACAGCCCGATTCCACCCGCTTAGGGCTATGCGAGGAAGTCGCGGTCGATTTTCGAGAGGCGTACTACGCGTTTCCACAATCGCCTCTTCCAATGTATTCCTCATATGCTCTAATTCCAGTTCCTGGACGACTTTTCCATCATCGTTTAAATCAACAAAAACTGGGGTATTCACGGCGGCATCCACGTTTGCGGGTTGCTCTGCAATTTGTGGCGCCGCATCCTCAGCCGTAGCATTTTCATCCAACGGAACACCCTCACGTCGTAGCCGTTCGAGTTCGGCGACATCAAATATATTGGAACGCAAGAGATACCGAACTCGATCTGCCAGGTTTTGCTCTGTGACGGTTAAAGATGGCTCCAGCTAAGCAAAAAGACGATGCATCGTAGCCCGATACATCAAACCTCCAACTTCTCCCCCTTTCGCCCTAAAATGCGTTATTGCGTTAGTATTCATTTCGATTGTCCATCGCATGCGGCGTATTCCACCAGTGGCGGGTACCGATTGCTGGGCCCGCGAAGACCCTGCCGATACCAAGCCAGCTGGTGGGGATGATGAATGCGAGGGGCTAATGGGTGGTCGTGCCGAGGCACGGCACTAACACCTCTTGGCAAGGTGCTGACTGACTGCGCTGTGGTTTTGTCACATAACCGTTACGCCAGCGGGCGATGGGGTCGTCACTTCCTTACGCCGTTGTTACATCGCCGTGTTGTTATTATTATTATTCATCAAAAATAAATTATAAATTATGTTTTTTATAATTTTAATTATAAATTATTACAGATATAAATTATTAATTATTATGGATTTCTATATAGTTTTCTCATCTGGTTGGGTTTATAAATATATATATAAATAAAATGAAAATAAATATACATAATATATTTTTTTGGTATTATTATTATTATAATTAATAGTATTTCACCTCTTTTTAATGTTTTTTTGTCAATAATAAAAAAAATTACTTCGCAGATACCAGGTACTTATCGACGGCAGCGCAGCTACAAATTGTACAAATTTTCAGGGACAGGCGGGCTATACTTTAGCATGTAGCGATCGTTCTCCTGTTCTCTAACCTCCATGCTTAATACTATGGAGTGTACAGATAAGGAGAACAAACTCCGTATAAAAAATGTCCGTAGAAAAGCGCTAAATAAGGGTGGTGCCACAGTAGCTAGTGTAAATTTTTAAAAAAAAAACATTTTTTATGGCACAGACTTCCACCATAATTCTTTTTATAATTATTATTTTATTGTTAGCAAAAATTTTATTTTCAAAACTTTTGATAACAATAAAATATTAGTACTGTAGCTCTTTAGCTACTCGAGCGCTGTTGTGGAGAGCTTTTGAACTGTTATTGACTGCTTACAGATGGACACATTTTCAACAACACTATATATTCTCCTATGGGAGATTGTCCTACTTACCTCTATACTCGATGCTTAATACTCTACGAAAGTCACACTATCAAAGAGTATAATATATAATCTCTACGTTTAAGAGGCGGAACTTCCTTAGTAAAAGTAAATGTATGAAACAGGCTGGTGCAACTTCAATAGTAAAAATTATATAACAGATTACTAAGAGGATCCTGCGCACAAACTGCGCATAATTATATGTACGAAACATACAAGAAAATGCGACAAGTAGTTTTGACAGTTCTCTCTTGATGATGACCTCTCCAAAGAATTCTGAAGAGACTGAGGGTGCAAGGTCAGGATTATATGGTGGAGGATGCGTTAACACTTCCCAATAAAGCTCTCTCAATTTTAGCTGAGTTGCCAAAAATGTGTGTGGTCTGGATTCATCATGATTGAAGTCCACTCTATTTACGACATTAACGTGTTATACTCGTATGTATATTGAAATTATAGAGTGAAAGTTTAAAGTGAAAAGTTTTGATTCAAAATTTTAATCCTTTGGTTCCATTAATATTAAAAGTACACGCAAGCACTTTCATTATGTCTTAACGTACGACAAAAATTATACGATTTCTGGTGTGAATGGAAGCGTGGCGGATGTGCGGTTCGTAGTTCAAGTGACTTCTGATAAGTTAAGAAAGGGGCCATGAACGCCCTGCTCACGATTTGAGTATCGGACAACTAAAGGAGAGGGCTCCTCACGCTCAGTCCGCACTTTCATTTACGGTGCTGTTTAATGGGTCTTTGCAGAGCCCGAATCGATCCGCTGCCAACGATGTAAATGAAGTCAGGGATGGTCGGGCGTTATTATATTTAACAAGTGTCAATATCTGTTTGCAGATGGTGACAACTGATAGACCGAATGCTAACGGTTTACTGCCAACCGCACGAGGACGTGCGATAGTCAGAGGTGGCCGTCTCTGCACGTCTATAAGGTACAGAGATTGCATCATTCTGGAGGAGTGGTGGTATTCATGGTGGGGTTAAAATTTCCAATACGGATAATCGATTTAAATGCCCATATTTTTTTGTAGATAGTACTCACTAAAAGAAAGTGTTTTGTAAAGTTTTAGGTTGCGGAAACTTACGGTTCATGAGATATATTTTTTTTAACTTTTCATACAAATTGCCAAATAACACGCAATTACAAAATAAATTTGAATTAATGAAATTAAATTATAATACTTACAATTAATACTAATTACACACAATATATAAAAAAAGAAATTATAATATAGAAAAACTAACACTAAAAGTTATGGGTATGTTCCGAAATACAACGCAGTGTACTGTCCAATGCAAATGACGTCATCATCTGACAGTTTGACACTTTATTTTACTAGCGTGCCGCCGCCATATTGTGTCGGATATCCGGCCATAATAAAACAATTTTTAATTGTGTGTTTGCCGAATGAAGCACGCCAGAATTTGTTTCTATTTATTCAAATATAAAAAATTATAGAATAATTGATGGTATATCCATTATCAAAAGACTGCGCGAAAAGAATAGGTTTAGAATTAGATTTAAAAAATACAAAAATCCGCTTGATGAAATTTCCTATCATTTGATGTCAAAACGATGTAAGCAACTAGTTTCGGATTGTTATAAAAATTACCTTAGAAGCACAGAGGCAAAAATAGCTGACAACCCAAAGTACTTCTGGTCTTATATCAAAACTAAAAGAGGTGGTCATGGTACATACCCAACGGCCATGAAAAATGGATCTACCACAAGTTATGAAGGTAAGGGTATCTGTGAAATGTTTGCAAATTATTTTTCGGAGGTGTATAGTGATTGCAAACAGCCGTCACTCTACGATAATGCAATTAATAATATTAGTATCAACTCGGATTGTTTAGCACATATTTCAATAAGTCACGATGATATTCTCAAACGTATTAAGGGTCTAGATATATCTAAAGGTGCAGGCTCTGATAATATTCCACCATACTTCATAGTTAACTGTGCTAATAGTTTATCAGCACCTTTAAGGCTCATTTTAAATGAATCGTTGACAAGTGGAGTATTTCCAAAGCGATGGAAGTTTGCTAAGGTCGTGCCGATTCATAAGTCTGATGATGACCAAGACGTTCGGAACTATAGGCCAATTTCTATCCTGCCTGTTTTTGCTAAGTTGCTAGAAGCAATCATTTGCCCATATATACAAAATCACTTCAAAAAATACACTTCTAGTAAACAGCATGGATTTGTAGCTGGAAGGTCTACTTCTACGAATCTCATGTGCTTTTCTGAAGACCTTATGGAAGCTGTGGATAACAATCGGCAAGTTGACGCCATTTATGCGGACTTCAGCAAAGCATTTGACACAGTTCCCCACAACATGCTCCTCCAAAAATTAGAAATGTATGGCTTCGCTGGACCTATTCTGCATTGGCTAGAATCATATTTAAGCGATAGATCCTTTTATGTGGTAGTCAATGGGTACCAATCTAACTTACACTCTATTTCCTCTGGCGTACCGCAAGGCTCGCATTTGGGCCCAATATTATTTAATATATTTATTAATGATCTGCCTGATCACTTTCTTTATTCTTCACCTCATATGTTCGCTGACGACCTGAAATTGTCTAAAGTCATATATAATGAGAGCGATATTATGAAGCTTCAAAAAGATTTAGACATCTTGAATTCTTGGTGCGTAAAAAATGGACTTAAATTTAACGCCAAAAAATTTACACACACATAAAATTTACTAGAAAACTTAACAAAATTTCATCTTCATATACAATAGCAGGCAACATACTTAAGGAGACAGAAATCATGCGTGATTTAGGCGTTTTATTGGACACAAAACTTACATTCATACCACATATGGAACAAACGATCGGCAGGGCATCGAGAATGGTGGGTTTTGTTATAAGAAATAGTAAGGAATTCCGAGACATTAAAACTAAAAAAATCCTTTATTGTAGTCTGGTCAGAAGTGTACTGGAGTATGGTAGTGTAATCTGGCGACCGCACTACGCTACTCACTCATTGAGAATAGAACGGGTACAAAAGAAAGCGTTCTTCGGCATCTGTCGTATTCTTCGGGTATGCGAGGCAGGCATATCAGTTACGAGACCCGTCTTAAGCGCTTTAACATGACCAGTTTATCCAAACGAAGAGAGGTTTCAGATTTGTTATTTTTATTTAAATTACTCCACAATATCATAGACTGCTCAGAACTTTTACAAAAGATTTTTTTAGAGTTCTCTTCAGGCCTCCACGAAAACCTATTACACCATTCAGTCCTCCATTACGACGAACTGTTTTGGGATCACATTCGCCAATTTGTAGGATGATCAGACTTTTTAACCAAATAAGCGATCTTGTCGACATTAACCATGTTTCATTGGGAAAGTTTCGAAAGACTGCCTATATGATAGGTACCTCAGATTATAAACATTTGCCTTGTTAAACACTTTTCCTTTTTTTTTAATTTTTTTTTTTATTTTTTTTGAATTTTGTAAATCCATACCTTGCCGCTCTGTTTTTGGTCAGTTTGTTTTAGTGCATTTTATAATAGCAATACTACAGTGTTTCTATTCAATAAGTATAAATTCGTCTTTTAATTGTCGCGATAAAAGTTATGCATGTGGTGTTTACCTGTAATTGACTGTGTACTTAGTTTTTTTACTATATCGCTTGATTTATATGGGAAGATGTTAGTGCATAAGTTGTTGGTAAACCAATTTTAATAAAATAAAATAAAATTAGGAGGATATAATGATTTTTGGAGCACAAAATGACAAAATAATCGCCACCACCAAATGGCGCAAAAGTATGACGTCATATACTGTCCAATGTTTTGGAACGAATCACCAGTATATCGTCGATTCATGACGTCATTTGCCATTTGGACAGTACACTGCGTTGTATTTCGGAACATACCCTATATCAATAGACAAATAATTGATGTCAAACGTCAATCACTTCATGTTTCAATTAGTGTAGGTTCCGAAAATTTTGAAAGTATCGATACCTACTCGATACCAATATCGCATCAAAAGTATCAATACTACTTGGTATCGAGTACATTTCGTTAATTTTGGAGACTTTAACTTTCTAATATGGACCATCTATATATGAGGTTTTAGGGGTGGAAGCGGGGATAGCTACCACCTGTGCCATCCCCACCCTGCGGAACCCCATGGTTATGGAGATATTCATGGCTAAAATTTACTATATTATTATTATTCTCGTTTCCGTATGTCTGGTGAAATGGAGGGGGGATATGGGGGAGGAGGTGTAAAATGAACTAGATTAAATGAAGAAAAGGGTGGGGCTTATGGGAGAAGGGGGGGGGGTTAGTAGCGGGGAAGTGGTGTGGTGGATTAGTAGTGGGGAAGTGAGGTGGAAGGGGGGTTAGAAGCGGGGAAGTTGTGTTCCGGCGCTCCGTGGCAGCTCCGGCTCTGCGGGATGAGCAGTCCTTCCGCCCTAGCGTAGGATAGCGCCTTCGCAGCTTCGGCATTTTGGTCGCCTTCGGCGACCAGCCTCAACCGCTACGGCGATCTCGGTGCCTACGCTTCCCTACGGCGGGCGGGCACTGCTCTCCCTGCGCGCCTCCGGGCTCTTATATACACTCTAGGGGTAGGGCAGACAAGACCAGGATAGTGTGGTGCTCTGATTCGGTTTTGAGTACTTTTTGGATATTAAATAAGTAAGTAAACACTTTATTGTTTTTTTTTATAGGATAGGGTGACAATCGAGCACACAGTCCACCTGATGGTAAGTGCTTGCTGTGGCCCATAGACATCTACATCTATCCTCGATTACGAATCAAAATGCAGATGTGTTGTCACCCGTGAGGACTAAGATGGAATGCCTCGTTTCCAGTAAAATGGGTCGCCGGTTCTCTACACTCACCATACGAAATACAGCAGCATTAAGCTACTATTTCACGCTGGTATTCTGTGAGAGCGTGGTCCTTCCCCGGTCGAGCCGACCCATTCGTGCTACAACTATACATCTAATATACCTGCAGCATGGCTCTACCACGTATATATTGTAGTAAGAATTAGATAATCCAGAAAGTTGCAAACAATAAAATACAAGTACAAAAGCTGTACTAATTAAGAAATACAAACAAGTTGCAAACAATGAAATACAAGTACTAAGGTGGAACTAAATAGAGTAAACTTTATTCTATTTTATATACATATTTAATTGCACTTATCAGCTCTTCATATGCATCTAAATGGTTTGTCATCATTTTCGTCCCAAAAATTAACGAAATGTACTCGATACCTAGTATTATTGATACTTTTGATGCGATACTTGGTATCGAGTAGGTATCGATACTTTCGAAATTTTCGGAATCCTACACTAATTGACGTTTGACATCATTTGTCAAATTTATTTTGTAATTGCGTGTTATTTGCCAATTTGTATAAAAAGTTTAAAAAAATATATCCCATGAACCGTAAGTTTCCGCAAGCTAAAACTTTACAAAACGCTTTCTTTTAGTGAGTTTCTTTTACAATCTACAAAAAATATGGGTTTTGAAATCGATGGTCCATATTGTAAATATTAGCCACTAACTTAAAGCTTAAAACAGGATTTAAAATAATAACGCTAGTATTCGAGCAAGGCTTCCGCACTCCGTGATGACCGATGCCAAAAAAGGGGCGAGTGATGCCAGCCGCCCTTGGACAATACGACAAAAAATAAATTGTTAAAATAAAAAATACCAGTTCCAAATTAACCTCTGGAGAATTCAGGAAAAATACTTTGAAATTTAAAAATAATATTTTGGAGAAAAAAATTAAAAATTAAAAATACGTCGGTGACATCACACCTCGGCATGAATGTGAATATTTCCTTTGCTCGCGTCGTCCCCGAGTAAAAAAGTATAATTCCATCAAACGTCACTGTCAGTCACTTGTCAAACTACGCTTCTGTTCTTCTGTTGCGTTGCATTGCATCTCGTTACCTTTTTTTTTCAAGTTTATTTGTGTGAATTTAACGAATACAATCACTTATAAATAAAAAAGATAAATAAATATAGATAGCAAGGAAGAATCTTGGAAGCCGATGAAGTTTCTGTATTGTTTCGTCACAACTTGCAAAAATAGTTTGACAAAGAATCCCAACAAAATGCTTTTAAGGTTCCTTTTAATAACCAAAAAGCTTGGTGTAAAGCAGCAGGTCGTTCCGATGTGCCCACGTCAAGTTTGGACATATGTGAGGATCACATTAATGTAAGTAAGATCTATATCAGATATTATAATGTGATAGCAACAACGAGGTTAGGGTTATATAGCTATAATATTTCTATCTAGGTAGTCCGTAATCATGACTAAGACAGGTGAAGCTGTTCCTTAGCTGTTCCTATTGCAATCGTGTGTTGTGACCCATGAACAAAAGGGGTAAACGAATAATAGTTTAGTGATAACCTAACCTTAAATAATGAATCTTAAAAAGTAGGAACTATTGTCTGATTTTGTATTTTTTTTTTTCTAAATCACACAGTTTTGCATTAAATTTTGAAGTAAATATGGAATAAGCAATCTTTTTGGAATCTAATGTTATTAAATTCGCAAACTGATTTCTTGTGGCAGGTTTCTATACTAACCACCTAAAACTAGGTACTGAATCAATGTTAAAACATTGTATGTAGAAATAATTGATGTGCTGACAGAGCATTCTAGTTTCTTGATAAATTAAAATATTACTTTTATTTCAGGTTGAAGAGGATATAGAAAACTATTTTCAATGGAAACTTTGGAAATATAATCCTCGGCTAAAACTTCAGTACCGGAAAAATTACTTTCCATGAAATTATATGAACCTAATGTCACTCCAATTACTCTTGCAGAACACAATGTACCTGGATGTTCAAGACAGAAATTTTCAGAAGAAAAAGCTGTACAATGTGATGTAAGTCTGAAGCATTCCAGCACATAAGTAGAAATCTCTATGGTTGACCAAGCAGTAAATACAGTTAGAAAGAAACAAGGACTTACATGTCAAGTAGAAGATATTATTAAATCTGAAGAAGAATATTTGCCTTCTACACAAGTACTGTGGAAATATCAGGGCAAGAAACAAATACTGATTCTACATTAAAAGAATATGATGTGCCTCTTGCCCTTGATTTCAAAAAAAAAGTAGAAAGGTCTCCTGATAGATATTTGGGTGTTCCCAAAAACTACTTTTGGTTAATTGATTACATTTGTAATGATACAAAAATGCCAGCAGTACATATTTTAACAGTGCTCTTTAAATTAAAACATGGTGATCCGTTTTATAAGATAGCTGATTTGTTTAATGTATCAGAGAGAACACTTCAAAGAATTTTCCCTAGGGTTTTATATATGATTTCCACAATATGTACACAATTTATTTACTGATATTAAAAAAACTTGCCACTTTCTTTTAGAACAAATAAAGACTATTCTAATGTACAGAGCATTATAGATTGTTTTGAGATAGAAATAGAAAAACCAAACAAACCTGTAGAACAATCAGCTACATGGTTGCAGTACAAAAACTGCAACACCATAAAATATTTAATAAGTGCCAATCCTGATGGTTTCATAACCTTTATATCTAAAGGATATACTGGGAGAATCACAGATGTTAAATTAGTAGAGAAAAGTGGTTTCCTCGACATTGTTAAGCCAAACTCAGTTGTTTTAGCTGATAGAGGTTTCAAACATCTTGAAAGTAGTCGTCGTCCACCTTCTGTATCAGCTAATAAAAAGATGACCAAAATGGAGGCTATTGAATCCAAAGTGATAGCTAGCCTGCGAATACATATAGAAAGAGTGATACAAAGAGTGAGATTGTACAAGTTTTTGAAGCCTCATTCAACTATAAATAATAAATTGGTCAACTGTGTGGATGATGCAGTTGTTGTGAATTGTGGGCTGATAAACTTGCAATCACCCATAAAAAAGAATTTTTAACTATTGATTTACATTGTTATTATATTACAAGACAGATGATTATATTAACGACAAAGACTGCTGGTCGGTAAGGACTGTTACTCCAACTCAATGAAAGAAATAATTGGTAGTCTTTTTAATTTTTGACATGTATTTGCTTACATTTTTGTAAGTTAACTACACCATTTTATTAATTAGTTTTGACTTTCTAAAAGAGAATCTTGTAAAATTCCTACTTAAAAATAAATAATTTGATTTTAACTTAACATTTTGTTGATTTTGATTTCTGTTATTTGATGTTGGAAGAAGATACAATGTAGTGAGCCTCCACTTAGCCAAACTACTTGCTAGGTGTCATGCATGTATCTTTTAAATTTGCTTACTTCTTGTAATACAGTCCATTCTTATTTTTAGTATTTTAATTAAATATTTTTAGTTCTTTTGTACCTATAATACTGAAATTTAACTTATTTTTTAGATTTTAGTACATAATTTAGGGTCGTTAGCAGGTCGTCCCATTCGTAACTTGTCCTATGTGAGAAACCTGTCCAATTCGTAACTCGTCCTGGTTACAAATCATCCTGTTCGCGACTCGTCCCATCAAAATAGAACATAAATCCTGTGACCGGTTTGAACTCTTTGTTATTGAAATCAGTTTAGCTGTTTAGGCATATAATGTCACATCACAAACAGATAGTCAAATTGTATGAATTCAAAATAACATTGATATGGATTTTAAAATAATACACAATAGAGATAATCAACAATAATTCGTCTTATTATTCATTTCAAAATTAACATAATTATAATTTGTATTTTAATAATCATTCAGCATAATTTTTCATCCCATAATAATATTTTGAAAAAAGGTAAAATTTTACAACTAGTAAAGTTTAAATAGGTAACAAAAAACATTATTATTATTACCTATAAGGTGAAACTAGGTGAACATTTATGCTGATTGATTATTAGAATATAAACGATAATTATGTTGATTTTGAAATGATATAAGAACTACTGTTGACTATCTCTATTCTATTATATATATTTATTTCTATTCTATTCTTATTGCATATTGTGTTTTATTTTGAAATCGATATTAATATTATTTTGAATTCACAACAATTTTACTATCTGTTTGTGACATTTATATGTTTAAAAAGCTGAACTTATTTCGATAATATTTTAAACAAGTTAAACATGTCTCAGGATTTAATGGTTATTCTATGTTAATGGGATATGTGAATGAAGCAAGTCGCGAACAGGACGAGTTGCGAACGGAACGAACGAGCTGCAAATAGGACAAGTTTCTCACATGGGACGAGTTGAAAATGGGACAACTTGCTAACAATCAATAATTACTTTTTATTTTACTTGTGATAACTCTTTTCTGTTTTCATAAACTCTTAAGTTAAAATATGTTTTATCCCTAAAACACTTTAATAAGTGAAATTGAAAGAACAGCACAAAACATATTTTAACTTAATGTTAATGATATTGGACCCGACATAATAAGCGGACTTACCTATACCAGTCTTGTCCGTAACCAGGAAATTCTAGCCTTGGTCGTTTATTTTTGCGTCAGTATCAAGCACTTACTTGTCAACAAAACATCTCCCAAAAATGACTAAATGTCAGTTAAATGGTGTAAAAACTATAGCGGCCAAAGCAGCACTATTTCTTTTTACTTGTAAGTACATTATTTTATTACATTTATTGTTATTTATCACAAAATTTAACCAAATGTAAAGTAAAATTTTGTATTATCCAACTATGTTAAATATAGTGGATATTTCTATGTATTGTTGACATCTGACAACCATCACAAAATGGCTGGATATACCATACAGAACAAATGACTAAAACTGTGGAGTAAGTCAATTTGACATCGACTATTGCTTGACCATGTCGAAAGATATATCGATATTTGACGATATGACCGATTGAATGATGATGTTATTTGTACAATACAATAACACTTAAAAATACTTATATAACAGTATCCTACAATCTGATGTCAATAAATTTATAATATGTAATAATTTTTATAATTAAATTAAAATATTATAAATGCAAAAATTATAATTAGTATCTGTACTTAAAATATTTAATCACATGATTTACACGAATTTTCAGATTTTTCAGTGACCCTTCTCGGTAGAAGCAGGGCGTAGAGGTGAAACCTGGATTCTGACGAAACACAGCGCCATGTGCAGTGTACATTTCGATACTGACTGTTTTAATACTAATGCAAAGAAACAGAAAATGACACCAATGAAGGCAGTCTCATTGCTCATAAAGACAAGGGAAAAGTGATACTTCCCTCAAGTGATACCATAGCTATTTGTTAGCACTGCGAACTCGAACTTCTAAGAGTGTTCAGAATAAAAAACTAAAAAAGATTACACAACAGACTTTCTTCTCCCGAAAGTAACAGAAACATTGCTGCAAATTCCGTTGTACGAAGACATTCATTTCCATAAATTTGAAAATGACGACGTGAATCACGTCGAAGAATTAACAAAAGCCGTTGCTGAAAAGTATTTAAACATTAGAATTGCTTATATAAGAAAACAAGCGAACAAAAGAAATTCTAAGAAACACATTTTAAGAAAGATTATACATAATAAAAGTCAGTAAACCTATTTAAATAATTGAAACTTAACAAAAAATTTGACGGTTATCATAACTATTATTGAATAAAAAATCCATAACAATGTCCTGCTTCTTATTTTAATTAAAATTTAAATATCGGAAGCTTATCTCACCTTCATTATCCCTTATTGCCTTTGTCTTACAGCTTATTTACGATACGCCTTTTCTTTCTCATTCGTTCATCGATATATTTTATCGACTACGGTCAAGCACTAGAAATAGAGTGGACTTCTACGAATTTTGTATCTGTGTTTATATTAATAAAATCTTCGTGCGCGTTATTCTCCACTTGGTTGAATGAGTTTTCATACATTTGTGTTTTATGTCGGGTCCAGTGGTTAATTCGTTCAAGGATATTGATTATTAAGTTATTTCTTTATAAATGAATGTGTACCTGTTATTGTTATGTCTAATAAAAAATCTTATTCTTAAAAGAATTTTTTTTATTATTTTACAAGAATCGAGGGGATTTTTTGAATAACTTTGTCACTAGTTACTATAAAATAAGACATTCACTTTAACTATGAAATATATATAGAACTAAATGCTTTCCCGGGACTTTGGGAAAACTATAATAGCCCATAGCACCCACAGATAATGTAGCTTCCTGTAGGTAAAATAATTTTCATGATCGGATCAGTACTTTCAAACATACATCAAACAATTTTAGAAACATTTAACTCTTTAAAATATTAATATTAGTATAGAAGAATAGATGAATGATTTTAGTAGGATAATAATAATAGTCAAAGTCAAAAATATTTTTTCCATGTATTTCATTTTTGAAAAAGTAATTAATTAACATATTTTACAACACAATAAAAACAAAATATTTACATTTAACCTAACTTAACACATTCTACAATATTGTTAAAAATAAACTGTTGCCAAAATTTTTCAGCTTCAATTAATTTTAATGTGTATTCTTTGTCAGATAGTACCCAAACTGTGTTTATTTTTTTATTTTGTTCAAATTTTGGGTCCGCAATACAAAAAAGTCCCTTTTCTTTGTTTACTACATACATTTGCAGTATTATCTGGGCTTTGTATCTGTCCATTATTTCGTTTTTATCGTTTACATAGTTTTTATTGTAGATTCCTTTGATGGACGTTTTACTTCAACAACATAGTTGTCAGTGATTCCATCTGGTGAAGCCCCTATAATGCCAGATACCAGCACGAAGCCACAGTCCTTTATCTCCAAATCAAGTTCACCCTCTACCTCTTTTTTTACCAAGTTCTCCAGACGTTTGCCTTCTTTGTATTGCTGGGGTTTCTGGCACTTTATACCCACCCATTATAGATTTGAACAATACACCATTAGCAGTTGTGCAATTTATTGTGTTGTAAATATTAGAGGCAGTAACTCTCCCCTGTCTCAAAGAATGCCATAAAGCAACATAATAATAATAAACACTTGGTTTTTCGTTGCCCGTTCAATTTCATGTACTAACTCATTTGTGACTAGATTTGCACGGTAAATCTTAAAATTATCAAAACATACTCCTATATCTTTAAAATGCTTATAATAATTTAACATAATATGAAATACACTGGAATCATCAAGAGATTCTTCTTTGTACTTACATTCTTCTAATATGTTATGCAAAGTTATAGTGGAGTGGATTTTTTAAAAGTCTTCTTCTTTCCTAGGTTTGAAGCTAGCAGTGGCATACCACTGGTGATGGCTTCACTGAGTCTGGGTTTCTGCCAGTAGCAAGAGACAGATGTAACTGATGGCTTTTCAGTCCTTTTGATGATCCAGTGTGCAAAACAAATTCCATTTTTGCAGCCGCCTGCAGATGCAGCAGAGTCATCACAGATTAAGTTTTCAATAACTTCACTGTCTTCATTTATAGTAATGGAAACCGTGTACATTTTTGTTCGAATCCGGTGCTCTGGGGTCACTTTTGCTTTCAAAACACATTTGCTTCTTTCTCTCTTAACTTCAAAGTAACCAATAGCTGTATCAACATAGGAATTTCGAGACGACATAAGTATTTCGGCTCCTCTTATTTCACTAGCATTGTACAGGAAGTGGACCTGGTCGAGCCCCGACGGTTCGACAAAAAATGAGATTGACTTCATAAAGACGAACAGACGCCAACTGTTCAGTGATATCTCAGTGATCGCAAGGGTGAAAACCGGTAGCGATCACCGAATGGTTAGAGGCACACTGAACCTAAACGTTAAGTTGGAGAGGTTTCGTCTAATGAAGTCAACGCTCCGTCCCCCTCGTGCTCTAATCCAGAATCCCGAAACCTTTCAGCTCGAGTTAGGTAACCGCTTTCAGTGCCTAGAAGATTGCAATACAGTGGACGATATGAATGACAAGCTCGTGGAAACTGTCTATGCGGTCGGAGCTAAGTTCTGCAAGACCCGCCGCAGAAGAACACAAAAACTTTCCGATCACACTCTTAATCTCATGGCTGTTAGACGGGAGATAAGGCTGCAATCGTCAACAGATTTGACAGCATACAGGCAACTGAACAGACAGATCTCCAAATGCATGCGGCGAGACTTACGCAACTTTAATACTGCTCGTATTAAAGAAGCGATCGAGCGGAACCAGGGCTCCAAAGTCTTTGCCAGAGATCTGTCTGCCAGAAAGAGCTAACTGTCAAAGCTGAAGACTGAGTGTGGCAGCATCGTTTCCGGCTGACACCTGAGATTTTGAGTGAGATTGAGAAGTTCTATGGGCAGCTGTACACATCATCGTTGGAGCCACACGCAAGTGTGAGTAACGATCCAAGAGCAAGTCTTACCCGACACTATTCCGATGATATCCCGGACGTCAGTCTGAGCGAGATTAGAATGGCTCTCCAACACCTTAAAAACGGCAGGGCCCCAATGGAATTACAGCGGAGCTTCTGAAAGCGGGTGGAACACCGGTATTTGAAGTCCTTCAGAAGTTCTTCAATTCCGTCCTCCATGGTGGCACTACTCCAGAGGCGTGGAGCAGAAGTGCGGTAGTCTTGTTCTTTAAGAAAGGCGACAACGCTCTCTTGAAGAACTACAGACCGATTTCCCTTCTGAGCCGCGTCTACGTGCTGTTTTCGAGAGTCAGTACGAATCGTCTCGCACGCAGACTCGACAACTTCCAGCCTCCCGAACAAGCCGGTTTCAGAAAAGGCTTCAGTACCATAGACCACATATATACCTTGCGGCAGATTGTACAGAAGATCGAGGAATACAATCTGCCACTTTGCCTGGCGTATGTGGTCTATGAGAAAGCCTTTGATTCCGTTGAAATTTGGGCGGTGCTACAGTCCCTTCAGCGGTGCCAAGTTGACTGTCGGTATATCGAAGTGCTGAAGAGTTTGTACGGGCTACGATGGCTATCCGAGTAAAGAACCAGAGTTCGAAACCTATCCAACTGCAGAGAGGTGTAAGACAGGGTGACGTTATATCTTCGAAACTCTTCACCGATGCGCTGGAAGACGTTTTCAAGCTACTGCACTGGAAAGATACGGTATTAACATCAATGGCGAGTACATCACTCACCTTCGATTTGCCGACGATATAGTCCTTATGGCAGAATCGCTGGAGGACCTTAGCACTATGCTCATTGACCTCAATAGTGTCTCTTAACGGATAGGTCTTAAGATGAACATGGACAAAACAAAGATCATGTTTAATGTCCATGTCACACCTTACCGGCATAGGTGTTGTTGTAGGTCGTTGGGAGCACTATGCACGAAGTTGTTGACGAGTACGTTTACCTGGGACAAATAGTCCGACAAGGTAAGTCCAACTTCGACCGAGAGGTCAATCGACGGATTCAACTCGGCTGGGCAGCGTTCGGGAAATTGGGACACATCTTCTGGTCTTCTGGTGAGGTATACCTCAATCACTGAAAACTAAAGTGTACAACCAGTGCGTGTTGCCAGTGATGACTTACGGATCTGAGACGTGGTCCTTCACTGCTGGCCGAATGAAGACGCTCAAGGTCGCTCAGCGAGCTATGGAGAGGGCTATGCTCGGAGTTTCTCTGCGTGATAGACTCAGAAATGAGGATATCCGCAGTAAAACCAGAGTGACCGATATAGCCCAACGGATTAGTAAGCTAAAGTGGCAATGGGCCGGCCATATAGCTAGAAGAACCGATAACCGATGGGGAAGAAAGGTTCTCGAGTGGCAGCCTCGTACCTGTAGGCGTAGTGTAGGGCGACCCCCCACTGGATGGAGTGACGACCTGGTAAGACAGGCAGGAAGGATCCAGGATTCTTCGCCTAATACGATGTTGTATGCAGCATTTGAGGACCCTCCGTGGAATCTTTCGAAAGTTCTGACGCACCAAGTAACGCGAGCCGTTTTTTGCTCTTCACAGAGCGAATGCGGTATCCATCGGGAAAACAACTTTTTTACACCTAATTGTTCATGCAAGATTATTTGTATTTGACTCATGTCAATATCTAAAGTTGCCTGAATTTCGCGGTATGTCACATGTCGATCTTCCTCAATCAGCTTACGCACAGCATCAACGTTTTCTTGGGTGACTGCAGTTTTTGGACGACCTTGACGGGGATCATCACTTAGCTTGACACGTCCACGTTGAAATTCAGCAAACTAGCGATAAATCGTGGTTTTGGATGGGGCTTCATCACCAAATGCAGAAATCATCCGGTCAACACACTATTTTTGTGTTAAACCACTTCGAAAGTTATAATAAATCATCGCTCTTGAATTTTCTCGAGTCAATTCCATTTTCTCAACGACTAAAAAAGTTTGACAAAACATTGTGACAAGACCGAGAATCTTTTTTTAAATAAATAAATGGTTTTCGATTTTTAAAACCAAGGAGTTTTCAATTAAAAAGATTTTAATATGACAGGAACAGTGGAAATATTCCATTCCCGATACTTTTATTGTAGCCTAGTATAAAGTGGTATATTGTAAATTAATTCTGTTTAAAAGAAATGTCCCGCTGGGTTTCTTGCTGGTTCTTCCCAAGAAAGAGGTTTTCCTCGAACCAGTGGTCATAGTATTGTATTGAATAAAAATAATTCTATTCTATTTTAAAAGCCTTTTCTGTAATAACCTTATATTACATTTTAACTATCTACATACACATCATAACATACATATAATTTTTTAAGAACAGTGTTTCTTTCAGCAACTTTAAATTAAAAATTCTTGATCTTTATGTATGAACTAAGTGGTTGGTACACATACACATCACTCGCAAACTGATGTAATTTTATTTTGGTCTCGCCTCTTTGGTCTTAGAGTATAAATAAGCAAGCTATAGAGAGCGCGTATCGCTCCTTGCTCGTTATGCCAAGCGTAATCAGATGTTTTATAGGTACTGATACGTAGTTAGACCCACAAACTAATAAAAAGCGCAGTTAGAGAGGTTGTATAGTGATGTGCCAAGATTGATGGCTAATTGATTAGCTATTTAAATAGTTTTGTCAACTGGTTTGGCTGTATAAATATATAAACGAAAATGGTAAATATTCATAAAAATTAATTAAATAAAAATATTTTTATAGTTTTTATTGATAGCACCCATTTATTTGCTAATTCGCAACTTTCGGCAATCTGAAATTAAAAGAGTGTTTTAACCGTATTTACTTTTTGAAACTACTAAACTAAACTTTTTGAAAGCTTTTTTTAATAGATACATCATGTACCTATTAAAAAAAAAGCTTTCAAAAAGTATTATTTTAGACATTGATCCATATGGGTTAGGGATACAAAGGATCTTAATTTTTTATACTATAGTTATATTATAATTATTACGAAAGAAATCTTGTTATTCAAAAATATTCGACAATGTGACACCGAACTAGAGTTGAGTGTTGAATCAATGAACTATATTATAGTTGATTCAACCGTTGATTTCCTGTCAGCGTATTAACGTTAACTGTTTATGAATCAACTAGTTGAAAGAGTTAAAAGTAAGCCCCCGGCCTTTTTTTTAATGAAACCACTATGGTTTTGATAGGTTTTCACCACACAAGACGGCATCTTTCAACTCATAGATATAGTTTCAACTCATAACATTACGCGGGCGCGGTTTGGAGCGTAATGGCAGGCGGTAGACTTACTATGGTGTGCATGTTTGCGTGCCGGCTTGTTTGTATTAGTGAGCTGACTTACTATGGGTGCGTCAGTAATTGTTTTAAGCATGGAGGTTAGAGAACAGTAGAACGATCGCTGTAGAAAATAGTGTCAGAGAAATATGGACAAAATAAATGAGGCTCTGCGATCGCTAAGTTGTCTCAATAATGTGTTTTATAATTTTAATTATAATAAATTATTATTATTTTTAACATTTCACCACTTTTTAATGTTTCTTTTTGTCAAAAATTAAAAAATTACTTCGCAGATACTCCTTATTTCTATGTTCATGTTCATGGCTCTGAGCGCCCTAATCCTCAAAATTATAAGAAGAGCTTGGCCCTAAGCACTTCATCGCCAATCTATACTATACTATATCTATGATTTTAAATAATTTTAAAAGTTGATCTAATGGGTAAATCGTAGTTATTAAATACTCTTTGTTAGGGGTGAATTCCTCGAACAGTTGGCAGCACTGCAGATAAATAAACAATATTTCGGATTTGACATGTGCATTGTGTTTGTGTTTAATTTTTGTTGATATTTTATCTAACAAAAACAATCAAAAGTAAAATTTATAATGGCTACTTACGATAATAAAATCTGGCTTTTAAAAAATATACGAGAAGCGTTTATTGCTACTGATGACACAGGTTTGTGCGATATTGTGATGGCAGGCGAAGATTTTTCAAAAATATTTCAAAATAAAGCCTTAGAAGAGAAAAAGAAACTTAAAGAATTAGGCATATATCAACCAAGTACTAGTAAAATAAAAGAACAAGGCCTTGACACAAATGAAGAGAAGGAAATTGTGACACAGTTTGATGCTTATCCAGATATAGAAGATAGTGAAGAAGATGATCTTATATGTGGAAGTTATATACGCCACGAAGATTTCTTACCTCACAGGTAATATTTTCCTCTGATAGAGTAAGTGCTGAGTTATTAAGGATTGTGCCTATTTTATTCATGTTATGGCGTCAAGTATTTAATTGCTCGCATAGCATACAAAATAGAAACTTAATATAAATTACAGCTGGTCATTCATTTATTATTATTTGTCAAAAGTTTAGTGCTGAACATATACTTTCTCCATATATGGTCCCATAAGATGGCGTGTATGGTTTAACAGATTTTTAAGTGTAAATTGCCAAATGAAATCTTTATTTATGGACCCCATTACTTATTAACCAATTGCAAAATAATAGGCTTTTATGTTAAATTGATATATTGTTGTCTTAAATATTTTTTGTAATAATTAACAATGACCAATTATTTTATAAATTTTTCAATTTCACATAAAACATAATTTTTTGGATAAAATGTAGCCTTAAACATTCCTGGCATTGACCTCTATCTGTTTGTAAAGTTTCATCAGAATCAGTTTGGCCAATCCTCAAGATTAGCCTAGACAGGCAGATATACTAAAATTTAGCAAATAACTCTTCATGTTTTAAAAGTATGTAAATAAATAGCCCCCTGGCCTCAATAAAAGTCACTTATTTTGATAATACAGATAGCCACTTCAATTTTATTTATACATATAAATTAATGCAGTTGGGTTCTTGATTATTCATTACTAATTTATTAGAAGAATTTATTTGTAGGCAAAGATCAAACACTACACAGTGGCTTGACAAAAAAGAACAGGCATTAAAAAAGGCAGCTAAAATTAAAGTTATAAAATGGGAGGATGCACCAACTCAACTTACAGCTGAACAAATGGCAGAAACCTTTGCAAAAATGGATATAAAGAAGCAAGAAAAAAAGAAATCTCTTTTGGCTGAACAGTTAGAGCAATGCCCTGATCTTCCCTATCGTCAATATCTGGAATATGCAAAGTTTGATGGAACAGCACAACTAGGGCTCCCTACAAAATCATTTAAAATATTTATGACAATGCTACCAGAAAAGCATCAGAACTACCCATTAGTTGTGTGTGTTATTGCCAGTGCCAAAATAAAGGATTTAATAGGCTTCACTTGCTATAAGTACAGGTAATTGACTAACCTTTTACAATATAATAGTCACACTGCAGTTATATTATGGTTGTACGAGTTAGTTGGCTTAACCAGGGAGGGACTACTCTCACAGAATACTAGGGTAAAATAGCAGCTTACTGCTGCTGTGTTTCATTTAACAAGTGTAGAGAACCAGGGACTCCTTTTACTGGTAATTAGGCATTCTATCTAAGTTCTTAAGGGTCACAATGCATCTACGTTTTGATTCTTAGTAGAAAATAGATGTCTATGAGACACAGTATTCACTTAACATCTTATGGTGTGCTTCTTTATTACCCTTATTCTATAAAAAAAATCTTTGATGAAAGATACTAAGACTACAGTATCATTCAACTGTCCAACTTCAATAAATGAATCCATGTCTTTTTTTGCCACCATGGCAGAGCCATTGCAAAATGCCAAAATGCCAATGCCACCATGCCAAAAATTTGCAATTAGAAAAAAATTGCGCCATTTTTGTATGGTTGGCAAATGTCGTAAATTCACAGGAGAATAAAAATAAAATACATAGAGTAACTGACTTTTGTTTAGACCACAGGATAGAGAATTTTGTATAGATTCCATAATGCCAAACTTCTTTATAGAAAAGTAGTCTATAAATATAAGTTTTAATGGTTTAGTGCTGTTGGGTGGGTGCGATCGCATGCAACCGCTCGGGACTTGACGGACACATGCGACTGCATGGAAATTTTAAGAGGATTGAGGGGTTAAAAACCTTTGTGTAAATGTATTTCAATGAAACCAATGGATTTGAATTTTAAATCTGTCTAAGTTCAATTTTCAATACAATTTTCTATGGTTGGGTGATCTGTGTAGTTCCAGCATTTCTCTATAAACAATTTTGCTGAATTTAAATGAAAATTGTTTATTTGAAATGAAAATATAAATAATTTCCATTGTCCTTTTTTCATAAAGCCTGATACAGTTACTATATTTGTTTTTAACATAGGATGTGTACAGGATAAATCTGTTATTATTATTCCCAGCATTGAACACCCAGAAATATCACTTGGATCTGTGCATGACTACGGACTTTGTATAGCAGAGGATGATGGAGAAGTTGACTTGGCTTTCCCCTGCTTGGATGCCAATGAACCTTGTTCTAAGTTTGGTTTCACTTGCCTTGGTTTAGTTGATTTAAAAAGCAAGATTGTTTTTGATAGAGCTACAAGTTCGATTCCAGATTGCTCTGTGTTAAGTGGAGCTTTTCATGTGTTTCCAAAAGCTTCAGATTCTGGACAAAGCCATCATAACACTTCTAGACATAACACAGGAGGGAGCTCCACTTCTGAGGCAGTAAGAAGTGCTATCAAAGCAGTTAATGAAGGTATCCTCTTTGTCATACATGAACCTAGATAGGATCGTAAATGTGCTTACTTAAATCAAAGATAACCTTTACCACTAATTTCTGAAAAATAGAAAATAAAAGTTTTTTTACTGTAATTTTTGTTTTTTAAACCTTAATGATTACTTAAATTTACGTGAACACTTTGAATAAAACTATTATTTACGGATTTTATCACATTTAATTACTTTAATTTATTTTTATTATCCCGACGTTTCGGGTGCTTTACAGCACCCATGGTCACAGGGGGGACTGAGATGTTTGACGTCCCAATGTCATAGCTAGTCTGGCTACCTTCAGTTTTTGAATATTAATTTTTGGTCCGATTTACGCAAAACGAGCTTATAGTATCATGAAGTCTTGCAGTGGTATGCTTGGGTTTGGGTTTAATTTTGTTAATTATAGGATCCCAAGCAGCTGGCAGCACCCATCCATCTTCTCTATTGAAATTTGGATGTTTTTTAATTTCAATAGCCTCGCGTATCATCCTTGGTAGGAATTGGTGTTCTTTTGTGAGGATTTTTGGTTTATTAAATCGAATGTAATGGTGGGGACGATCTTGAACATGTTCGCAGACTGCAGACTTCCCGGAGCACAGAGACGTGAAGCACCGAAACCGCCGATAAAATCCGTAAATAATAGTTTTATTCAATTTTTAAACGTTATAAAATTATTGATCAACATAGATGGAGATGTTATCATTCGGTACATAAATTGAAACATGTTGCAGAAAAAAGAGCTGGTGGTTTGAATTTAGACAAAATTCAGGCACATATAATTGCAACTGAAGCACCACAATGTAAGGCCTATAAAGTGCATATGTTAAGAAAAGTGCGAACAAATACATCAGTTCAGTTGGTGGTATCATTGGACAGAATCGAAGTAGAGCCCCTTATTACACATAAACATGCGTTCTGGGTGAGGAATCAATTTTATAAATTGAATCTTATTTTTAACACTTTGCAAGTCTTATTCAATATATTGTATTTATCTAATTTTTTATGTTCTAATATTATCGTATTTACAGTCAAGGTCAAAATATTTCCTGCATAGTATAGACTCTGTGGCATGGTGTCAAATACTGGAGTCTAAAGCCAACAAGACCACATTTAGAATAGTGTATTCTCCTAGTCATAACGCTGCCTTTAATGACCGCACTACAGGTATTTTTAACATTTTTATTAATGTTGAAACCTTAAATCATAATTAACAACTGGAAGTGATATATTATTGTTGCGCGCCTAAGTTGACGTCATGTACCTGGCACTAGCGCCATCTAGTGTCGGGGACGAGAGCGAGGTGGGCTTCCTAGAAAATGTCAATCTTGACTTTCGACCAACAGCGCCATCTGGTATCGAACAGAAGAATTAAGCTTTCTGGAAGCCCCACACTCGAACTTTCTGCGTCTGGTCGGTCGGCGCCCGTATCCACTGGAATATTCTGGATGTTTTGCTGAAAATGTGTATTTAAAGCCTCCGCAACCCGCGATCGGGGCAGTATTTAATTTGGCGAGACAAGCGAAGCTTCGGAGCGAAATAAAGTGAAGTACTCAGTGTGTTATTAACAATGACATCGGGACGTCGGTCATCTCAGTCCCCCGTGACCATGGGTGCTGGAAACCGCCCGAAACGTCGGGAATTAAAAATAATAGTAAAATAAACGCGATAAAATCCGTAAAAATAGTTTTAATCAATGTGTAGTGTTCGCGTAAATATAAGAAATCATTATGAATCGCCATCAGGAGATGGATCAGAGATGATTTGGTGGTGCTGCTGAAGAGAACGCTGCAGACGTCGGAGGGCCAGCCACCGGCTGCAGGCCCGTCAGTAGCTCCTACATCTGCAGCACCTGACTTAGGTGTTCTGATGGTGATGCTGCAGGAGCAGGCTCGCCGACAGGAGGAACAGGCTCGCCGGCAGGAGGAACAGGCCCGCCGATTGGAAGAGCAGCTGCGGGGCGGACAAGAGGAACAGGCCCGTCGGTTGGAAGAGCAGTTGCTCCTCATGAAGGACCTTCACGCTACCTTCGGGAAGGAGATAAAGGAGGTGAAGGATAGGGTTGCTCAGCATTACAATCGCCTGTCGGAAGCTGAAACCCAAATCGCGAAAGCTGAAACCCGAATCGAGAAAGCTGAAACCCGAATTGACCAAGTGAACAATCGGGTTGACAACGTGATGGCTGACGCGAAGAAAACGCTGGACGACCTCAAGCTGGGGGATGTAATTACAGCTCCCGTAGTAGCTACAACACCTTCGCTACGTGGGTTCAAGGTGCCACTGTTTGACGGGACTTCTTCCTGGTCGGCCTACAAAATCCAGTTCGAGGCTGTTATGAAAGCGAACGGCTGGAATAAAAGTCAGGCTATGACTGCTCTCACACTAGGCCTGCGCGACCAGGCCTTAATAGTTCTGGAAGCTCTCGGTGAGGAAGTGACTTATGAGTAGCTCCTTGAGGCATTGCAGGCGAGATATGGCGACGCTCACCTGGAACACGTCTTTCGTGCGCAGCTTAAAGATCGCATGCAGCGCATCAACGAAAACCTGCAGCAGTGGGCTCTAGAGGTGGAGAAGCTGGTGCGAAAAGCATACCGGTCTGTACCTGGTGCAGACATTCATCGACGGCATCCGCGACCTGGAAGTCAGAGCTGCTGTGAGGCTCGGGCACCACGAGACGCTTAAGGACGCCTTGGCCCATGCACTGGAGGTGGAAGCCGTGCGGCAGGATTATCGTTCCCATCGCGTCAAGGAGGTTGCAGCACCTACAGTTCGCGACCGCAACAAAGGATACAGCCCTAGGTGCTATGGCTGTGGGGAAAAGGGCCATCTTCGATCCAGCTGCCCTAAGCGAACTGTAGAAAGGGAAGTTGATCGATCTCGAGAGGGTAGTGCAGCTAACGGCACCGCCTGGCGGTGGCAGGATTATCTTTCCCCTTACGCTAGGGAGGTTGCAGCAGATACGGTTCACGACCACAACAAAAGATACAGCCCTAGGTGCTATGGCTGTGGGGAAAGGGGCCATCTTCGATCCAGCTGCCCTAAGCGAACCCTAGAAAGGGAAGGTGAACGATCTCAGAAGGGAAGTGCGGCTAACATCACCGCCCAGCAGCAGCAGGAATACGACTTTATTATCAGTCATCGCAGCGAGAAATCTCATGGCAACGCAGATGCATTGTCAAGAAGACCTTGTCCTGAACATTGCAAACATTGTACTAGGCAAGAGAGTAAGGAAGTGGTATCCGTGATGATGCTCAGGACAGACAACCTCAGCAACGAGTGGAAGGAGAGCCTACGACATGCACAGCAGGAAGATCCGGACATCAAGCCGATGGAATGGATGAAGGTCCGTGCTACCAAGCCTAAGTAGAGCGACGTCTCAGCGATGAGTTCGACCACTAGAAGCTATTGGGCCCAATGGGACAGCTTGCTGATTCAGGATGGAGTCCTGTGCCGTAAATTGGACAATGGTCGAGGAGACAGCTGTCGTTTTCAAATGGTTGTCCCTAAAGCTAAAGTGCCGAATTTTCTAGAGCTGCACCATAATGGTTGTTCAGGAGTCCATCTGGGAGTTAAACGAACTCTACTGAAGATCCGAGAACAGTTTTACTGGGTCCATTATCGTGACGATGTCGAGGATTGCTGTCGCACATGTACAAGTTGTGCGGCTGTGAGGGGACCTCAGACACGTAGTAAAGGAGCATCGAAATTGATTGGTGACATGGGTAGCTTACATTGCGGAGCCGTTACAGAAAGACGCAAGAGAGACTCCTAAGATCGTCCATGTGGATCGCCTGGCGCGTTATTATGGAGCCGATAATGCTCGGGACGAGCATGTCTTAGGAAGGGGCAGTGTTGCGCGCCTAAGTTGACGTCATGTACCCGGCACTAGCGCCATCTAGTGTGGACGAGAGCGAGGAGGGCTTCCTAGAAAATGTCAATCTTGACTTTGGACCAACAGCGCCATCTGGTATCGAATAGAAGAATTAATGCATAATGCATTTCATTAATCAGAAGAATTAAGCTTTCTGGAAGCCCCACACTCGAACTTTCTGCGTCTGGTTGGTCGGCGCCCGTATCCATTGTAATATTCTGGATGTTTCGGTGAAAATGTGTATTTAAAGCCGCCGCAACCCGCGATCGGGGCAGTATTGAATTTGGCGAGGCAAGCGAAGCTTCTGAGCGAAATAAAGTGAATCAGTGTGATTAATTATTAGTGTTTTAAATTTTAATTTGTGTAAAGAAAATTAAAGTGTAAATTTTGGTAATTCAATCGGCAGTTTTTATTGTCACGAACCTCAAGCTCGTAACATTATATTTTCTTCCTCACCTTCAAACAAAATTGGATTTTTGCACCCAGAGACCATTAACTCCTAAACAAATATCCTAAATTATACTATGGCTGAAATATCAACTTCCTAAGCAAAACTTTATATTTCTAATATCCCGATTTGCTTTTTTAAAGCTTTTATGAACATGAAATCTACACCAGTTTGCAAAAACAATTTCATAGAGATATGAAATTGTCATTTTTACATAAATTTTGACCTGCTGCTAGATTATTTTTAGTTTCATAAAAATTGATAAAATCACTGTATTAAATTTAGTATACATAAATAAAATTTTAAAATTTAAACAAAAGCTGACTTTTACATTTTATAAAGGTTTTAACAAATCAAAATTTTATTTAACTGAAGCAATGTGTAAGAGTATTAAGAATACTGTGTAAAACACGAATTAAAAATTATGATAAAATTGTATCATAAATTCATATGAATTATTTTCAGGTAATTCAAATTACTTCCATCCAAACACAACATACAAGTTTCATGATTTTGAATGTGATCATGATACAGCTAAGGAAATTGTAGAAAAAATAAACACTATCTTAGATCTTAGGAACAGTCCCTGTCGGCGAGAGTACAAGACTGCCAAAGACAAAAAGTTACAGACTAGACGAAGCTTTCACATGAAACATGTTAGTTGAGTAATATGGCAAAGACTGTTTTATATTATAAACACTATATGCCATTAAAGTTCCTGAAACACAATCTGAAGATTTTGAAATGACTGAAGTCTTAGTAATTTAGTTCATTAAAGAAACTGCCATACAAGACATTCACAGATTCTTATTTGTATGTCTTGATTCGATATAAATAAAATTTGGTAATAATTGATTTAGCTTGCTGCTTGACGTATTTTTTTAACCAAGATCTATTACATTGCCTATTTATTTAAAAATGTAAGAACATAATGTTTTTATGATTATATACTAAAAATTATAACTCACTACTGGAATGAAAACAACCAACATTATGTTCTGCTTCTGGTACTCTATGTAAAGTACACAGTACAGAGTACACAGTATGTTATTTATATAATCGCAATAAAAGAGCACTTTGTCAAATAAAATTAAATGTGATATGAGATTGATAAAATGTTTACCAGTGGTAATTTTTTTTTTAATAATTTCGTAATAATGTTGAATATGTATATAAGTGTAAATGTGTATGAATACTGTACAACATTGTTATTTTATTTTCAGTTAGTATTCACAATTAAAACCATTACATAATTACACTTTTCGTAAATATTGAGTTTGTGGTATCTATTTACTTAGTTAATTTTCTAAAGAAGTACTCTGTCTTAAAGTAAGATGTGTAATTATTTTTTGAAAACAAAGACATTTTGTATAATTCTATGAGCTTTAAATATTTAGAATTCTTATCAACAACAGAAACTATTGCATAGTGTGATTAACCATTTTATTTTAGGCCCTTTCAATGTAAAGGAATCTAAAATTATCTGACAAGTGCAACTATTTCAACTAGTCAGTTAAGTTACATTGTCATATATTCAGTTTTTCCTGCTGCTATATTATGTACTTCTTATTAAGACAAAAACCTTATTTTAAAAATTAAAATTCTACATCTCATTATTTTCCCTTCTTTGAATTTTACCTAATTTATTATGTATTGTATATTCAAATGATTAAATTATTATTTGATTGTTAATTCCTATATGTGTACAATTTTAAGTTAGTAATATTGGTAACATTAATTTTTATGTACTGTGAATGAAATTGTAAATAAATTATTTAAATAAATTGTTATTAATGATTAAAAGATTTATAATTCCTAATACCTTAGTTACCCTTAAATAAAAAAAAAACTGATATTATTAGAATTTATTGTTCTATTTACAATTTCTTAATAATTTATGTACAATATAATGTACATCCATAAATTTATATTATTTACAACTTAGTAATTACATCAAATTTGACAAGCTGAAACAAAAGTCCTTAAAATCCTGCTTTTTAATTTTTAACTTCTATTCTTTCCAATTGCATCAATAAGTAAATTAACATAAATATTTAACACAACTTTTAACACAGTTTTGGCATCTTCAAATAATAAAGAATATTGGTAAAATCATCCACCCTTTTTTGCTAAAATTAGAATTGACAGTATTATAGGCAATTTATATACCTAGGCATATTTGTACATAGTTTAAATCCATTAAAATGGTTTCCTTAATAATTACTGTAGTATATTTTATACATCCGGTTCTAGTGTGCTATTATCAAGAATATGCTCTGTTATTTTTTTCACTTTATCTTCACTATTACTCAGAATAATATCATCAAGTTCTGTTGCTCTTCTAAATAGTGCATATGTCTGTTTAATTGATTTGTGTAATTTCAATTGGCTATCCACTAATTTGGATATACCAACTTTTGCCTTTAAGAATTCTATATCATCATTTGATAATGCAGAGTAGGACAGCCTAGACCTGTTAGGCGCTTTTGCTGCTATTTGATACTGCCTGAAAAACAACTTACATTAAATGGTATGAACTACTATTATGAATACTATTATTGATAAAAGAAATAATAATATATGTATAACTGGGAAAATCAATTTATTAAGTGCTCTTGATAGGTCGAATATGAACTATTTTAAAATTCTTTAAAAGGATCTATAGACTTATTATACTACAAATAGCATCAACTCATTGGTGCCAAAATGTTTATGGAGCAGCAACGCAAGCTCATGTGCGTGCTGTGCACCCGTGTAGTGTTTCCACTTTTAAATATTTTGCACTATTTTTGGGTAAATCTACTAATATAGGTAGGGTTTCAGGTGTTTCTTCAAGTTAACAGGGTTTTGGATAATTTGGGGTAAAATTGAACTTCAGGTAGCTATACCCACCCAATGTAGTTTTTTTTAAAGATTTATCAAAGGAGATAGGATCAAAAGAGCTAGAAAAGTGTAGAAGGAAAAATATTTCATTCTGTATATCGGAATAATGGTATAATATTTTACCTAGTTATGAGTACATTTTCAGTATTCATATGAGCTAAGTGTTATTATAATTTGAAAATGAGAATGTCTCCTTCATCACAAAACTCAAGAGTTTTAAACGTGAAATGATATTCAAAACTTGCAATGTTGTTCTTTAAAATATTGAAAATTAGGTGCAATAAATAAGGTAATTTCGATTTTTTTACAATAATTTAAGGAGTATTTCTACAGGTTCTGGGTAAAACCAAAATTATAAGTGGAAATACTGGTTCCCTGGTAGTTCATGAGTATTTAAACCATGAAAAATTTTTGTTCGCGCAACTATACCTTGTCATTTATATCGTTGTGAAAGATCCCAAATTCAACTTTATCTTAAAAACATTGGTGCACTTAAAGAATTAGCTTTAAATTAGAAATTGGCAATATTAGTAAATTATTTATACTTACTGTTTTAAATCATGATATTTGTTTCTCCTATTTTTTACTTCTTTCTTCCACTGTTCTTTCTCATCTAAGAGTTTATTGTAATATCTGGAATTGAACGAAAAGCATCGTAAATTGAAGTAAGTCATCAAATGTATATATTAAAAATAAGAGTACATACCTAAGGAGGTCTTGATTATGTTTTTCTTTGTTATCTGTAGCCTTTATGCACAAATTAAGATCGACATTTTCTGACAATGGTTGCGGAACTGTAAGTTACGAATTTTTTGTAAATATGTTTTATAATGGATCATAATCAAAAAAACCTATGTCAGATAAGGCTGTATTAATTCCGGCTAAATTAATATATAACAAGAAAAATAAATAAAGCACATAGACTTATTATAAAAGCATTGTTTATTTCACCCACCCAAAGAATCTCTCCTCTCAAAGAACGTTGATCTTCTTCGCCGGGGTGGCGATCGAAAAGATTTATGTAAATCATGTTCAGTTATAGAACTTTCCATTTCAGCAATATGTTTTAAATTTAATTCCCCTTTACCGAGCTAAATAACATTCAAAATTATGAAAATTGAAAACAAACTGACATTTCAAACGGACGCTGCATTGACAATCATAGATTCACGCTCCACAGATAACTATATACTAGCACCGTAGACAGAGAAACCTATAGACTAATGATCGGCGTGGCCTCGAGTGAGAAAGGACGATAACGAATTTTTAGGTTATACAATAATCTTTATGACTTTTAAACACATTTAGATAAAATTTTTAATTGTTCTATGAACTGAACTGAACAAGATTCTCCAATCTTAAGCTCACAAAACACTTTTTTCTCATTTAAACCAACTTGTAAATTCCTTAAATCGCTACGCGGTTAAAGTTGTTTAGCAAAATGTAGACGGCTCTGTGCTTGTTTGTGCTAGTCGTAGACAGAGAAACCTATAGACAAATTGACACCTTCTTTCGCATTCGCACACGAAAAAGATAGATTTATGCATACGTCTTCATAGAAATGAGATAGAACGGTGTGATTGTTTGTCCCTTTCTCCGTGCCGGTTTTTTTTTGTTTAGCAAACTACACTTTGCTAAAAAACTTTGACAGTTCGTAGGAGTTTACAGATTGGTTTAAGTGAGAAAAAAGTGTTTTGTGGGCTTAAGATTGGTGAATCTTGTTCAGTTCAGTTCTTAGAACAATAAAAAAATTATATAAATATGTTTAAAAGTCATAAAGATTATTGTATAACCTAAAATTACGTTATCGTCCTTTCTCACTCGAGGCCACTCTAATCATTAGTCTATAGGTTTCTCTATCTATAGCCCGTTCACCGTAAGATGTCCCCTGTCTTGGGAAATGGCAGCATTGTCTACGGTGTTGCCAACAATATATGGAGCATTTACCCCACTTGGTGGTTGTTGGCAAAATTATCTAAACTTGAAAACCCCTGATTAATATGTTTTACTTGCTTATTTAAATAATATACAGTTAGTTATAAGACTAGTAAGGTTGTGAATGAGAACACAATTTAATTTTTAAACTATTTATTGATTTATTTTTTCCGACAATAATTATGGTCGAAAGGAACAATTCCAGACATACTCATATCACTGTCACTTTCACAAACGTCGTCATCATCATCTGTCGTATCCGAATCTGTGCTGCTGTAATTTCCTAATTCAATTATGAATTTATCAGTAATATCATCCATACAGCCATCAAGTACATAAAACTTGTCTACTAAATTTTTTACGTGTTGACACTGCTTTTGCCAATCCTGAGGGGTTATAGATGAAAAAGCTTCTTCAGTTAACTTCACGATATTCCCAGCTTCTTGGCCGACATTATTGCTGGCTACTCGTCTCTTTAAAAGACTCCACATAAACTCAATCGCATTTAAATCGCAGTGGTAAGGGGGCAACCTAACCACTTTATGGCCATGAGAAAGCAATAATTGGTCAGCCTCATAAATCGGCGCTTCTTTGTGCTCTTTTAAATTTCATAAAGTTCTGCTTTCAGCATTGTTGGTACCTATATAAGACAATCCATTATTTGTTATCCAATTTTGCATTTAAAGTTTTGAGGAACTCATAGTAGGTGCTTTATTTACTTGTACGGTATGATAGGGAGCGTTATCCATCACGACTAAGGAGTTCGGAGGCAAATTGGGTATAAGTTTCTCTGAAAACCATTTTATAAAATTGGTTCTGTTCATGTCGTCATGGTAGTCCCCTGATTTACTCTGTGATTTAAAAATCAATTGAGCATTAGGAATAAACCCTATTTCTCTACCTGCATTAATAATTATCCACCGCGTTCCAACAGAATCACTTATTAGTACTCCGTCCTCGTCATCTTTTTGCCAACATTTTTTCACTGCATACGATGCGTGAATGTATGTTTCATCTAAAAAAACTATTGGCCGACCATCTGCTCGATTTTGCCTCATAGTAACGATATACTTGCATCTTCATGCAACTATGTCGTGCCTTTCCATTAAAATTTTCCGTTTCGAACCACACTTTTTATACTGAAATCCAATTTGTTTTAAAATTTTCCACAAAGTCGTTCGACCTCCACCAAAGTTTATGTCATTCTTTAATTTTACAAGTAATTTATTTAAAGTAGGAACAACTTTTCTTACAGTATACATTTCATGGATTTTGTTTCTTATTGCGCATAAATCGAAATCATCAAGATCCACCGTTTTACGTCTTTCACGGTGTTTTCCAGGAAACTTGAGTTTTTGAGATGTAGAGGCAGCAGCTTCACCTTCTTTAGATATTCTACTCACGGTTTTCTCCGACATGCCTGAAATAGACATCAAATTTGTATCATTTTATAAAATTAAATATTAATAAAATACAGACATTATCGTAAAAAAAATAAATTAAATTAACTGAGATACGTACTTTTTTATTTTAATTCGTAATGTTAGTAATTTATAATTTGGGAGGTATCAATACTAAGCCTTGGCAGACACACGCTACGTGAGCTAGTGGGATCCTATTTGTAATCCCAATTTTATATTATGCTTACTAACGATCCGCCCTGGCTCTACACGACTGTTTCCTAGATCTCAACAACAATGCCATTTAACGCGTTCAATTGTAAGTGTAAATATTCATCGAAATCTGTCCAACCTTTCTTAAGAAATGATATTTCATACATGCGGTAATTGATTTTTATTTTATAGATTTACCGTTTGCTTAGCGGAAAAATAAACCATCGATTATATTCAACAAAGCTTTATCTGCTTGGATGGATATATTTGTAAATCATGAAGGTAAGGCAGGATCTTGATAATGCTGTGTAGTGGCAGTGAAAAAGAATTCACTACCTCCTACCAAATAATATATATTATTACTCAGAAGCTCTAAGACACCTTACCATCCCGTGAGTATCATTACAGACAACAAAGAGAAATGAAACGTGAGATAGGCAACAGTATCTTCGTGATAACACCTCGAAATAATAAAAAAATTACGGTTGCGAAACTACTTGCTAAGAGAGGGAACTATGGCAAATATTCGTCCTACGTTTAGCAGTAGACTTTTGGTTGGCTATATTTAATTAATTAATGATGGATAATATCTTGAGGGAGCAGAGAGAAAACGGGTAATATTTTCGTAATCGATTTATGGTAGTTGTGATCTAGCGACAAAAGAGGAGGCAGACCGCAATCGCAGTCGAGTCACTGTTATACGAGTATCACAATACTACTTTACATGGTAAGGTCAATCTGCAGCTATAACAGTCCTAGCACGAATGAGTTGGCTCGACCGGGGTAGGAGTAGGACCACGCTCTCACAGAATACCAGCGTAAATTAGCAGCCTAAGGCACTTTTGTTGAGTGTAGAGAACCGTTGGACCTTTTTACTGGAAACGAGGTATTCCAACTTAGTCATTGACAACCAATGATATTGTAAGTAAAAAGGGAAAAGGTAGGTTACCTACACAATATTCGATCTTCAAAAACGGCACACTAACGCACACATAAATAACTAAATATTGCAATAGCACACTACATTGCGATTAGATGTCAAAGTAGGATGGCATGATTAAACTTTCGCAAGCGTAAAAGAGAAAAATGTAATTTGCGACAGCGTGTGGTCTTGTGTAGTACACCGTGATTTATGCCTAAAACGCGATTCACTCATGAGTGCAAGTAGTAAAAGTAATAAAGTAGTAAAAATGCATTAAAAGAAAGAAAATAAAAAAAATTATTGGTTTTTTAAAAAAATTATTATCAAATAAAGTGCTGTAATAATTATTTATATACGAACGTATATACCACTTCGTTACGCTACAAAACAAATAAATTGAACTTATTAATTAATAATGACAGTTAATTTACCCTTCAATAAAACAAGAAATATATGTACACAATTTGAATTACGATACTCAGAAGAGACCTATCTGTTTTTGTATATTCTTTGATGAGGGACAATATTACTTCTCTTTCAAACTCACTCATTGGGTTATTTTAACCCTCTCTATTTTTTCTGGCAATATATTTTAAAATACGTAATTTTAAATTTGTAAACAATACGAAAATAAATTAAGGAAATAGTAAACGAATGAAATATGATTCCTTTTGGAAACCGTTCTTGTGTAGTTTGTGCATAATCTCATCACATATGACGGCATTTTCGATGCAAAAACAAAACACGAATTATTATCAACGCCGTTGTCAATGACGCGACGACAGCGTGACGACTGAGCTCAGGTTTGCTAATTAACCCAGTTTTACGTGCCACTTGCGGTGCGCGTATAACCTATCTACCTCTTTTTCTTATAAAAATATCATTGTTGACAACGCATCTGCATTTTATTTTTAATATAGGATAAATATAGATATCTATGGGCCACAGCATCCACTAACAATCAGGTGGACTGTGTGCTCATTTGGTACCCTTATTCTATAAATAGTAATCTTATTCTATAACAAGTGTCGTAACAATGTCCTCTGTGTACGTTCCGTGGCACAAACTAAGTGTCAATAAAACAAACACAGTTATTATTATTACATGTCCAAACCCATACTATAGTCAACCAAATCTAAGAAATACCTTTTGACGTTTCACATTAATCATTCAGTAATAACTTTGCACCAGCGTACTCACACGATTTAAAATATCCTTTTATGTAAATCCGAAGAATTATAAAGTTATCTTTATTTCTTTACAACGTGTATAGTTTTTTATTATCAATTTAAATTTGAATCTTTCAAACAAAGCAAAATATTAAAAAATAACCAGTAAAAGTAAAGTAAAAGTAAAGTAAAAGTAAAGTAAAAGTAAAGTAAAAGTAAAGTAAAAGTAAAGTAAAAGTAAAGTAAAAGTAAAGTAAAAGTAAAGTAAAAGTAAAGTAAAAGTAAAGTAAAAGTAAAGTAAAAGTAAAGTAAAAGTAAAGTAAAAGTAAAGTAAAAGTAAAGTAAAAGTAAAGTAAAAGTAAAGTAAAAGTAAAGTAAAAGTAAAGTAAAAGTAAAAGTAAAAGTAAAAGTAA